GTTGGCCCAAACGAGAGCCACAAATTGCGGCAGAATGCATTTTTCAAAAGACAAAACGGGAGAGGTGGATGCAATCTCAAGTGGTTATCTCCGAGGCCCTCTGGACCTGCGGGACATGGGGACCAAAGTCAACATCAAAGTTCACGCCGACAAAGCGTTGAGTGTAAATGTTTAATGAGTGAGCAAGCGGGGAATGTAGTTTGCTAAAAAGGAGTAAAGGATCACGACTCCTTCAAGCCCGGGCGCAAGCCAATTAAAACAAAAGCCAAAAAACAAATGCACTTCAAGCGGGGCAAAGCTGGGAGGACGTAGCCCGTTTCACAGTGTCAAAGGATCTGGGGAGCGCGAGCCTACCACGTGGAGTGTTTGGCAACAATGTTGGACCTTCCAGGACCTCCCCAATCCCCCCCTCCCCATTTTTCCCTCCCCCCAGCACGCACTCCAAGCAACAGTTCTTCTTTGAAGTCAAAAGGATTTCTTTTTTCCCAGGCTGCAGCGAAAATCGGAGGCACAGTAAATTAGCTACACTTCACTCGACTTCTCGGCCCCAGGGAAAGGGGTTAAAGAATTTCCACCACAGCGGGAAAATTTCCCCATGACAGCTGCCGCATTGTGAAGTATTTGATGGTAGGCTAATCATGGTGGCAAATTAATTGGGGTAGAAAGATAGTCAATCCATGGACTAGACTCAAAAAAAAAGTGCTAGAATTAAGGTGGAAGGTTGATTAGGTTAACCAAAAGAAACATCCTAATTTTAAGATTAATATTCCAATTTAAATTAAAAAAAGTATAAACTATTTAAGATTGGTGTTTGTGGCAAATAAATTTTACAATTTTAAGATTGATTTTGAATCTGTTTGAACTTACAAAAGCCAAAATACAAATAATTGAGACGAACCCCAGTATAACTTGTTGTACGATTAAAATTCTTCAAGAAACAGTAGCTTTTAGAAGAGAAAATATATTTTAAGATTTTAAGCCTTAATCAGTAAACAACTGTTGGCCACAAAAAAAACTCTTCATGCTCTGTATTATCCCAATCCTAAGTCCGACGTAAAGACTATATTTTCCTCGCTTTTAATTATGCTTAGCTGACAGCGCAAACTACAATGGTAGTGCTAGATAGAGTAGTATGAATTGGAGCAGGAGGCGGCAGGACAAAGATGAGGATTAGGTGGAGGAGGAGCTTTAGGCCCACTGGCGCCCAGCGATATGTGACAGCCATTTAATTTGATTTATGGCAAGTGAATAGCCTTGATTAGGACGCGTTCGCTACAATGAAAGCCTGCGGGGCAGGATGTGTGCTGTGGGTGTGTGCATGTGTGGATGAATTTAACTCAATTTCACATAAATCAAAAATGTAGCCAACCCAAAACCCGCTCCCGTATCCGACGCCAAATCCTCTTCGTGCTGTCCCTCCTGTTCCTTATTCATTCATTCATTCATTTCCCCCGTGTACACCTTGGCGCTAATCGCATTTCAATTGTTGAAGCGAATTGAATGAAGTGTTGAAATTTCAGCAGCCAGACTCATAAGTGCACTGGTAGAAAACATATCAAAATATTAGAAAATGTATATAACCAATGAAATCAAATGACAAGGAATAGGTATAGCTAAAATACAAAAGATTTACTGTTTATGGTTTTTACTTAAATGAAAGTCCTATGCTTTCAAATAATAAGTTAAAAATTGTATAATTGTTTTTAGCATAAAGGCTATGACTTAAAATACTCTAAAAACTTTACGATTGACATTTATATTTTTCAGCACGTTTTTTACTCTATAACATTAGGGTATACAAAATGTTAATTTTATGAAACTGATAATCCTCGACCAAGTGGCGAAAAATGAATAGCTAATTTTAAAAATATTATTATCTAAATATACAAAAAAAAATGTAAAAGTTAAAAATAGATGATATCATATTAAAAACTGTGTTTTCAACATAGTGCAGAACCATACTCAGATTAAAAACAGTTTTTGCAATACATGTTATACATAATTGTAACTTAGATCCCAACCTAATTTTGATAATTTTTTTTGGGTGCATAGATATAGATTTCCCCTATGAGCGAACAAGTTCATAAAAGTAAATCCAAAGCAGGCAACAATAAGCGAATTTAGGTGTCAAACAGCAGGTGGCAATGGCAGCCAACGGAAGTGCCTGACGTCCTTCGATTGCGGACTGGGGGTCGGATTTGGGGATGGGTTTGGGGTTCGATTTGGGGTTCGGTTTCCGAGTTCCGTGATACCGGGATCCTGGGATCCTGGGGTCTTTGGGGACTGCTCGGTATCGTCAGAGACAGATGATATCTTAAACGCACACACACACACACACACACTCAGACAATCACACATGACTACCCAGCCAAATGTTATCAGAAAACCAGCAACAAGCAAAAAAAAAAAATAAAAGAGAAACCAAACTGTTGTACAATTTTGACATGGGTTCAACCAAACAAAGGGCCACAAACTTGGGGCGGGGCTTTAGACACGTATATATAAACAACTATATATATATATATATATCGAACCTTCTTTCGATATCATCTGGGCAGTGCCTGTGTATTGGCAAACCGCAAGAACATCAACTGATGGCAGATAAATTAAATTTTGCGGTTCTAAATGGGCAATCAATGAGGCGTTCCACCGGAGATTTCGTTGCGAAAGTCCGCTTTCACTCCGAAAACTATGTGGAAATAAAATTTAAAAATTGAACAAACACCAGTCAATAACTTGACCTCCGACAAAAGGCACACAAGAGTTGGGACACGGCCAAACTGCGAAGAAAAGTGAGGAATCCGAAAAGTTGTTAGTGAAACTTTCAGCAACGACATCAAATATTGACTCAAGTCGCAGGGAATTCCCCTCTTCACACTCCCCCTCCCCCCTGAACAACTCAAGTGGGTGTTGTTGTGTACAGTTGACACCTGGAAGCCCCCTTCTTTGACTCCGTTTATTGGTATTTATTCGGCAGCCGGAATGCCTAATCAAACAGTCGGAGGGTACTTGAAGGGCTGCTTAAGCACACAAAATACAACTAATATTGAACGCGATTCGGTATCTGCAAAGGGGAATCCTTAAAGCCTGCAGGACTCTATCTGAACAAAAAAGGGGAGCGAAAAATGAGGCTTAAGGGTTAAGACGTTTTGCGATTTTGGGGGGATTCGTTTTTTGAGAGCCAAGAACACTTTAAAGATGCGCATACAATAAGAAACTGAGTTGTAAGGTTGACCAATTTAGTTTTTAAGTAGCTAAAAAGCTTTTCATTTATAGATTCCAAACTGATGTTTTATTAGATATAAAATTTGAAATGGGAAATGTGGTTTTAAGCCTTTAAAATAAATCATACTTGAAATAAGTAACTCCACCATTATTATTATATTATAATTCCATTACAAATTTTAAAATAATTTAATAAATGGCAACAAATAATGACATTTAATTAAATTAGTTATTCTATTATATATTTTTACTCCTTTTTTATTATTTTTTGCCATCATAAAATAGCCCCACTCCAGTCTAGTCTCAACAGTTGCCCAGTTAATACGAGTGGGTCAATGGCTTAACAGTCCAACGCCAAATAAAAACGGGTCCAAGGGCCTAGACCAACTTGAATGAATGGGGCAAAAGCCAATTCAATTGCATACAATTTCTATATCAGGATAAAGGATGCCATCTTTTTTGTAGCTCAATCGGACCGCGCTAGGGGGAAATATTTATTAATTAACCATTATCGTTGGCTGACTGCTGACTGGCGATTCCGATTCTGGTGCTGATGCGTCGATGATAAATGGATGTCTGAAGTGCAATTTGCATGCGAGCCAAACAAAAACGGGTTGAGAGATGAAGTTATATGCAGAGGAAATCAGCGGCGGCCATTGATGCCATTGAGATGTGGACACAAAACAGCCGGACGGAGGGACTTCCGGACGTGATGGCAACCTGTCCGCTGATGAGCATCATTATGCCAAAGGACATGCTGCTCGTCCTGCGGATCGAGCTCCCAAGAGTTGACAATTATGACAGACGCAGGCATTGCCATTGGACATCATTCGTTGCTGCTGCGCTGGAATTAACGCCATTTTAATTGAATTTTAATATTTCACACACGACTCAACAGCCGGAAGTGGAAGTCCGCAGCTGGGCCAGCAAAGGGCTTTGAAATTCGCCCAAAAACCGCAAGAAAAACGTGAAGAGTAGGCGGAATGGTTTATGGCCATTGACCATAAAGGATGGCCCGGGGATCTGGCGCTGACTGACCAATGAAATAGCCATTATGGAAATCTGTTGCCAAGTTTGGTCACATAATGGATAATGATGCATTAAATTCAGCAGAACTTAAATCTCGCCGAGGGAGCACCTAAATAAAGATAAATCAATTCAACATTATAAATAAATTCCTATTTTAATTCTTAATAACATGTTGTTTGTTTAAACGAAATTCGAAAAATTTGTGACAAAATTCCCAAGTGCAAACTGAAAAAAATGATATTTATGGAGAAAATATATAAAATATTATATATAAAATATATTATAATATTATTTTAGGACTAAGTCTCAGAATTTACAATAAGAAATACCAATTTGTTTAGGAAAAATATTACGAAAGCTTAACAAAAAATTATGTTATTTTAACTTCTCAATCAATTTTTGGAATATAAATTAAACAAAATTTAACAAAAAATAAAAAGATATTACCATTGAACACTTTCCAAAAAATGTTGAGCTTTATAATATCGTTTGATTGATTTAATTTTCATAGGCAAAACTTTTTGGTGTGACCAACGAAAAATTGTTTTCGCAACAAAAAAGTTTCGATAGTTCATAGAAGTACAGTTTAAGAAATTCGCGCCGCTGGGATAATGAAAATGCTGTTTTTTTAATTTAAAAAATCGAAGCATTTAATTTAAGTGAGCGCAAACAAATATTAACTATTTACACTGATTTTATATTTAAGAGAATATTCCAATTAATCAAATTAAACTTATTGGGCCACACTTATATTTGCACACACTATCGATAAACTACAAAATCATTTCTGTCACGTGTTTGATTGCCAACTTTGCAAAGTTTGGAACATTTTAAATACCGGCATTTCCTTTCCCGATTATTTTTTATCAAGAAACCGAATGGCAGCTCGCATTAAATACACCAAGAAGATGGTGAGTAAACTGAAAACCAATTTAAGCATATATTTACTCAACTTGTTTTAGGTTGCAACGCGTAGGAAGCGAATAATTCAGGCCAAACTAAGGACAAAGCCACAAACTGCCTTCGATCGCCGGCTTCTTGAATTGGAGCGCCGTATAAATAGATTAACCAGAGAAGTTCGGGACTACAAATTACAGTACTGCAGACGCAATAAAATCATCTTTCGGACTTCAGAAATTCCATATCCATTCGAATTGAATTTGGAGTTCATGCAAGGAATCGAATCCATCGCTGTGCAGCTTTTGGTGGACGGTCAAAAGCCTATTTTTATTTTTACTTCTTGAGTCGGCAAAACGTAAAAGTCCAGGGCAACTTGAAAAAAAAACATTTATTAATTTTAAGAACTATATAACTTAACCTTAAGAAGGAAATAATAAAATATTTTATACCGATATTTAGGAAATACTTGCTGCCTGTGATTTTCATTTGCAATTGTTCAGTTCACAAGTTCAACACCAAAATCGGCGCATATAGCCGCCAGGATGTGCGGTGAAGACCTGATCAAATATTTTGCCAGGACCAACAATTTCCTGAAGGGACACCGGTGTCCAAATATTAAATGCCATTGTGACTAACGCCGCCAACTGGCTATGAAACAGTCAACTATTGATGATGATGATGAGAAGATGAGGACGTGGTGGCCCCCAGACCACCAGTTTCACCGGCAACCATCCGAATAGTCGCCGTTTGCAATCAGTGAGAGGGGCTGTGACAAACGCAGTTGGCAATTTCTTCGTGTAACATGCAAATTTCAACGATTTTCAATCACAACTTCGCACTCACTGCAGTTCTCGCTCTGTGACATTTGGCCAGTGCTGGCACCTTAGATTCAAATTGATCACCGAAATGTAGGTTTCAAACTATTATATAAATGGTAGAAAACACTATTTGGTGTCCCTTTCATATCAAACTTTTCCGATCGTTTGAACTCAAAGCAATATGTTTTACATTAAAAATACCCCAAATATAAATAAGATATTCCTGCTCTTGGTTTATTACATTAGCATTTCTATAAAACACTCTGTAATAACGATTAAATATAAAATCAAATATTAAATCTTAACTTTCTTAATGTTAAAATTATCTATTATTTTTAAAGTGACTTTCACATCGTAAATTAATATTTCATAATTATAATTTTTCAAATATAATGTTGAAACTTAAGATTTTGTTGTAATTTTAAGCAGCTAGAATTTATTTAAAATGAAATTAGCTTTTATTTAGTACATATTAAAAACCCAATTAAGTGTACCATCTCGCCTATTAAATATGTATATTTTATTTCGACTATTTCTGGCTTTGCAAAGTTTTTTGTTTAGCATTTTTGGGATGCATATCCGTGCTAAAAGTGACGCAACACTAGTCTCTGCTTTGCGCCGACACACAGTGCGTATGAGCAATGGAAAAGTAATTAAATTTAACAGGCAAAAGCGAGAACTGCATGGAGTCCTGTGTGCTGTGTCCCAAACGCCATTCTCTGTCGATTTCCCGGCTAGTTAGAGTCTAACAAAAAATAAAAATAAAAAAAAAAATATTGGGAAAACTGTCATTATTAACGCATTGAACGCGACGCTGACAGCTGTTGCAGCCCCCAAAAAAAGGACAAAAAAGGGGCGGGTAGGTGCCATGTTGACACTTTGCCGAGACCAAATGACATTTATTGAAATTTCATCATTAAGAGCGTAGAAGTGGAGAGGCCATTCCACCCAAAAACTGTTTGTGAACTTTGCTGCTCGTCGAACTTATTTAAATTCGAATTGTGACACGTGCGTGGGAGTACGAGTAGATTGTCATATCACCATCAGGTTATCAAAGAAACAGCATCCTTACAAAAAAAACAAAAAAAAAACGGCTTGACAACCCTTGCCATTGGAAATCACTTTTTTTTGGCATCACAAACAACAATTCAGTGAACTGAAAAATATCCCCAAGGAGCAGAGCCAACAATTTTCACATTTTTGCATAATTTTCAAGAAAAACTTTCCAAGCTATGCGTTGGGTGACAGAAATCGTCATCATCCCTCTTATCGAAAAATGATATGTGAGTTTATAATTCGAATGTAATATGCTTTAGGCAAATTGATGAAGACGAGGGTTGGGTTCACGATCGATATAATGCGAAAATAATATTTCGATTGTGGAAGCTAGAGTTTAAGAACATTGATGAATACGCAAAACGTGAAGGAAATAAATGAGATGTTCAATCCAGAAAACAAATTTTAACTGTAGTATGCTTGCTTTTGATGGGTTCACTGAATGCTTTCAATTTGAGTCATAGAAAATTAATTTTTACAATTTCTACAATGAAAATATGCATAGACTTAATAAAGGTATTTTAATTGTGTTATGGTTTTACTTTCGATCAAACTTATTGTTTTTTATAAATTTTATTTTGTTACAAATTATTATTATCATTATTATTACCATAATCATATATGAATTTAAGTTATAAGCAACCGAGTACTGTAGATGAAATAAAGATAAAAAGAAAAAATGAAAATATATATCACAAGCTAACTAAATACATTTTATTACTTTTGGATATCTATTGAGATGTTCGGTTTATCTGTCAACGACTCCAGAGGGAAATTCTTTTTAAAAAAAACGTTTCTTAAACAAAATTGATTTTTTATTAATAAAATTGAATAAAGTAAGGCTTTAATTTCTTTGAAAATCATTTACACCTATTAGTGTACTACAAATTTATGTAACCGCTATAAAAATTCAGCGAATAATAGAAGCCACCAGTATTTCAAAGGGAAACAAGAACAAATACGACGAATAGAAGTGATTGCGAAGCGCCAATAAAAATGGAATTACAATCAATTGCCCGCGCCCCTGACTTCGTCACTTAACCGCCGAATCGCACCCCGTAATCCCGACCAAAAGTCCAACGGATCACATCAAAAAGCAACCCCTGCGAACATTCCCTTGGAAAGGAAGGCTATGGAAGGCTATATCCTCATTCTTGGGATTTGTCCAGCCCGGGGGCTCTTTTTGGGCCGGTGTCTAATCAAAAATGCAATGTTTGGCTTGGTTAAGCGGAAATCGGTAGATTGCGTTCGCACAGTTTTCGCTTGTTGATATTAACACATTCCTCCCACTCCTATTTCGCATCCCATCAACACCCCCCACCCAGATTTATGGGCGGGGCAAGGATGCGGGGGCGGAGGTGGGTTAATGAAACGTCACAGATGATGACGACGTTGGCATAAGATTTCAATGATATGTCAAAACTGAGTGATGCCGATGATGGATGGGTGGTCATAATACAGTATCCTTCTCCCTGGTGCACTTGAAAAAAATACCTACAAAAAAATAAAGAAGGTTTTATAACATGACATAACTAGTAAAATATTAAAAGAATAAATATGTCTAGCAATACCAGATCAAAACTACAAAAACCTTGTATAGATGGCGTTAGTTACTATGCATATTTTAATATCATTAATATTTTAGCTTAGGTTTCCAAAATAAAAAAAAATGTATATTTGAAATATTTTAAAAAACTTTTGAAGGGCTGTAATTTAATTTAAATCTTATTTTTAATTCTTTTTTTGACCAAAATTTGTTTAAAATTTTAGAGTACTATTTTTTGGAGTGATTGAGTCCACATGCCCCCTTTCTCGTGCCTTCTCCCTTTTGCGACTCATACATCACACGCTTCTACGCATAAATTTACGAAATTTGGACCAACTTGAGCCGCATTTACATGGGATTTCCACGGCGAGGAGAATGGAGAGAGGGTTGGCAGAAAGTGGTGGCTTAGATGGCCGTTCGACGGTTGTTTGGTGGGTGATTTTACGTAGGAGGTTGGTGAACGCCATAAGAAGACAAACAAACCCAGCTTCCGCTTGGTGGCAATTTCCGTTTTGTCACTTAACGCACATCAAATGCAATTTTGCTGGGCAAATAGCATAATCAACCCAAAATGTGGAAGGAGTACTACATAATGCCGAAAAACTTGCCCATGCGAGCAGTCAGGTGAAATTTTATCACACCAAAATGCTTTCAATTTATGTTTCTATTTTCCGCTTACTCTTTTTTTTTATTTATTTTGCACCTCCCATATTGAAATTTGATTTGTCGCTGGCAAAGTGCAGCGGGAATATACATTTTTGTGATGGATATTTGAGCAAAACTTGCCCGAAGTGTCGACAATTGAATTTGTGCTGCTTGTGCAATTTGCGAAATTTGATGTGGCACCATTAGACGCATCAACGTCGGCTCCATTTTGCGGAATGGGGGGCATCGGATGCGAAACCATAATTTTTAATGGCATTTTTATATGGAGCGAAAGTGATTTTATTTAGGAGGCATCAACACAGATGCCGTCAGGAGTGAAGACATCAACTTGAATTTATTTCTAAGAACCTTAAAAGTGGGAGGAAAGAGGGTTGCAGGTGAGTGATTACATTAAGAACAAATTACTTAAATGATGTTTGTAAATACATGTTATAAATTTTCACAAAAACATAACTAAATTTCAAAATATAGTCTATCAAATTTGAATAGACATACGTTCAAAAACTAAAACCTTACGAAATTAAATTTATTTATTAAATGTATCTTGATAAAATTCATTTGTGATATTTTTAAAGCAGTTTTGCAGGCATAAATTTAATTTGTAGACCCAATCAAAGTGGAACCTTTCTTTAACCACGCACATGTTCGTTCACATTTTGAATTCCCCCCGAGCAAATCTGAAACCGGAAAGGCCAAACTGGAAAATGGGGCCAGGGAAAAGCAAAAGCAATGGCTGAAGCCAGGCAAAGGCTAAAAAGTAAACGCCTTTGGTTAGTGAAAAGTGAAAGAGCAGCGTAAACAAATACGACAGCCGCCGACTCGGGAGCAACTTACATCTGCTGATAAAGAAAGCAGCATGCAGGCATCCTACTATATGTGAAAAATGCAGTTTATAAACTGTGGCGAGGGTGGTAAAAATGGGGAGGACGTCTTTTAATGAAAGATGGCAACAACAACATGGACGATAAAAGGTTGTCATTAAAATTGCAGCGGTTGCTGCTGGTTGCTTCATTAGAGACGGCGCCTCATCTTTGTTGTGGTGCAAAAAGTCGGGAGTTGAGTGGGGTGATTCGTATTTCAAACTAGGTTGTCGTTTTGGGTAAATACTGTCGAGAATCGAGATGAGTAAACCAGAGTCATTGAATCAAGATGAAAGTGGAATTTGAAATGGAAAAAACAAAACAGAAGGGCAATTTCTGCAAAAGATCAAAAGTAGAGAAAAAACATCCTTAAAAATGTAAGTTGTTTAGTTTTAAAAACTTGTGCACAAGTGGCCGGACCTATACAAAAAGGTTATCTTTCAAAGAGAAACCAGATTGGTGGAAAAGTTAAGAATGCTTGTTGCCAGATGGGTAAAAATGTTTTATGGTTAAGATATTAAAAACTTAATATTTCATGCATAGACAATTTTTGTATTGTCATTGAAAAAATTATAGTTTTTAACATTTTTTTTTTTTGTCATTCATATAAAAGTCTTAACTTTTAAAAGTTAAACGAAAAACAAGAAAGTTATATGTTAATTGTTTTCATTAGTTGAGTTTGCATAGGTGTAGAAAATATTAAGGATGAAAAGGTCTATGAGTATGATGGGGAACTGACAAAATACTCCCTAAACTGTTTTAAATGTTGAACAGTGATAACATTTTAAAACCAAATGGACACTGAGCTAAATATTTATATTAAAATTAAACGGAAAATAATTGTATAAAAAATCTCTTTAAGATTCTTTAAATTCCTTTTCAGGTGCTCAATATCTTTAGAAGTCTGTGGGTCCCTATAGTATATAAGCATTTCGATTTCTTAATTACCTTCCAACGATTTGATTTATTTTTCTTGATTAACAGCATTTAAACTAAAAGACGCGCTTCGAGGACTCCTGCGCCTCGCTTTTCCCATCCACGGGACGAGCCAGTTCGATCGAATTGATCCGGAGCATGGTGTGCGGGGATCGCTGGAAGTTGATGCGCATGTACTGCTTCCTGCGCTTCTTCCGGAAGTGGGTCTTCGTGTGGCTGAGGGTCTTCTCCACCACGGTGGCCTTCACGGCCACGAGTCCAGGTTCCAGGATGGGCCTGCCCACGAGCGTGAAATCCCGGGCGCCGGCTAGGAGTACCTTGTCCAGACTGATCTCATCGCCCGTCGTTGGAGGCCAGTATCCTTCGACCAGGACAATGTCGCCGGGAGTTACTTTAAATTGCTTGCCGCACAGATGCACCACTGCGAATAGCCGTCCCTGCTCGGATTTGGCCACCTGTCGGTTGATCCGCTCGCAGATGTCCTGTCCCTCCTTTTGCTGATCCTTGGCTATGGCGGATATATCAACCGATTCGGTGGCCGGTTTATTTTGTTGTTTAAAAGCCGGCGAAATGCTCAGCGAGCGCATGGCACCTGCAAAAAATGGGAATTGTGAGAACTTGTTATGTCACATTGTTTACATCGTGTTTTACTGTATATTCTATTACCTGTTAATGACGAATTGCGATGGGGCACTTGTCGAAGCACCTGGCGCACAGTTTGCGCTAAAAACGACATCTTTTTGCCCGCTTTTTAACTCAAAAACCAAATAAATAAATATGCTCGTATTTTATTTGGATACTGCCAGGGCAGTGTTGTAAACGACGGAGGGATAAATGCTATAATGCTTCGCCAAACAGCTGTCTTAACATATGCGAACTAACACCACTGTTAAATACAATTTTAGCTTTATAATCTAGCTATTTTCTACAGTTGGCTTTTTCAAATCAGCGGGGAAATTATTTCAAATCGCTACCAGATTTTTATATAAAAACAGACAGCATGTGAACGCAATATTTAATTTAAAAAAAACTTATGGATACCGCGCCAATGCGGAAAAAGTTTAATAACCTTTAAAAAATCTCAATGCCAGAGGCCACTAGGACTTGGAAGTCAACTCAAAGGATCAACCCATAAGTTTTAACGATTCATAAGAAAAGAAAACTAACAATAAAAATGTTTTACAATTAAATCATACCAGCTCGAGTTATTTCCAGCTAGCTATATTCAAAAACTGCCATCACAGACAGCATGTGCTGCCCGATCCAGTGTTGTGAAATACCCTCGATCTGAGTCACTTTCCAACACTTCTCCTGAAAGCAGGCCCGGCGTTTTTGCTATCCGAATTTTGTGCCTAGCAACTTATTTTAGCTCCATAAACAACTAGTGAGTCGCTAAACGCATCGAAAAATATTATAACTTACAAGCGTTTGTATATTTTAGGAGTACAAAATGACCGAGACCGAGAAAATCGAGGTACGCGATGTGACGCGCATCGAGCGCATTGGCGCCCACTCGCACATTCGCGGATTGGGATTGGACGATGTCTTGGAGGCGCGTCTGGTGTCCCAGGGAATGGTGGGTCAGAAGGATGCCCGTCGGGCCGCCGGCGTGGTGGTGCAGATGGTGCGCGAGGGCAAGATTGCCGGCAGATGCATCCTTCTGGCCGGAGAACCGAGTACCGGCAAAACGGCCATCGCCGTGGGAATGGCCCAAGCTCTGGGCACCGAAACTCCATTCACCAGTATGTCCGGATCGGAGATCTACTCCCTGGAGATGAGCAAAACCGAGGCTTTGTCACAGGCTCTGCGCAAGAGCATTGGCGTTCGCATTAAGGAGGAAACTGAGATCATCGAAGGCGAAGTGGTGGAGATCCAAATCGAACGCCCGGCCACCGGAACTGGACAGAAAATGGGCAAAGTCACCCTGAAGACCACCGAAATGGAGACCAATTACGATCTGGGCAACAAGATCATCGAGTGCTTCATGAAGGAGAAAATCCAGGCGGGCGATGTGATCACCATCGACAAGGCATCCGGAAAGGTGAACAAACTGGGACGCAGCTTCACCAGAGCCAGGGATTATGATGCCACCGGGGCCCAGACCAGATTCGTTCAGTGCCCCGAGGGGGAGCTGCAGAAGCGCAAGGAGGTGGTGCACACTGTCACGCTGCACGAGATCGATGTGATCAATAGTCGCACCCATGGATTCCTGGCCTTGTTCTCCGGCGATACCGGTGAAATCAAGCAGGAGGTGCGCGATCAAATTAACAACAAAGTTTTGGAGTGGCGTGAGGAGGGCAAGGCCGAGATAAATCCGGGAGTGCTCTTCATCGACGAGGTCCACATGCTCGATATTGAGTGCTTCTCCTTCCTGAATCGCGCCTTGGAATCGGACATGGCCCCGGTGGTGGTGATGGCCACCAATCGCGGCATCACTCGCATCAGGGGCACCAACTACCGCAGTCCCCACGGCATTCCCATTGATTTGCTCGATCGCATGATCATCATACGCACTGTGGCCTATCTGGAGAAGGAAGTCAAGGAGATCTTGAAGATCCGTTGCGAGGAGGAGGACTGCATCATGCACCCAGATGCCCTGACCATTCTGACGCGCATTGCTACGGATACCAGCCTGCGCTATGCCATTCAGTTGATTACCACGGCCAATTTGGTTTGCCGTCGTCGCAAGGCCACCGAAGTCAATACCGAGGATGTAAAGAAGGTGTACACACTGTTCCTGGACGAGAATCGTTCCAGCAAGATTCTGAAGGAGTACCAGGACGACTACATGTTCAGCGAGATCAACGAGGACCTAGAGCAGGACTCCATTTCTGGCGGGAAAGCTAAGCGTCGTGTGGAGGGCGGCGGCGGCGGAGATGCCCAGGCCATGGAGCACTAGGGCGTGCAGACTAGTATTCCAGCAGCCTCCCAGTACATTCTCATGACTATTTTATGATCAATAAATAAGTTTCCTTGTATCTACGATTAATTTAAACGCCTTTGATTGCGGTGTTTCACCAGGATTTTTAAAATGGGAAATGTCTGTTTATGATGATTTGGTAAAGAAAAAAAATATTCAACACCATTTAGGCCAGGTAAATTTTGACAACATTTATATTAAAGTTACATATTTACAAATTTTAAATCAACATTCAATTCCTACTTATTTAATCTGAAAAATGTGCGATTTAATGACATATTGAATCACAAAAACACAATTATTTTGAGATGAATTTGTTAAACGTTAAGCTATTTTGCAGATAATTTACATATCATCAGTATTGTCCAAAATAACCCATTTCAATTTCCACGCCCAATAAACGCTTGCCTTGTACCTTAAAATAATTTCATTGCATTTTATTTCGCATTTCCGTTTCTGAAATTTGCACTTAGCGTGAGCATATCAAAATATATCTTTGCTTTATCTGCGTATCTGTATAAAACTGTCTTTATGGCTTAGTTAAGTCTCGAATGCTTCCTATACAAATACAAGAATCTTTTGCAGAAGTTGTTTGATTTTGATAGACGCGGGTCTTGTTAAAGTCTTGTGTGATCTGTCTAGTTACTAGTTGAACTAAACGGCTTATAGCACTTAAACAATTTACAATTCCATAATATATATATAAGACTGAGAATGCGTTTTTTTTTTGTTTCGGCAAGTTAAGACAGTATCTTATCTCCGAAAACAAAAAAACACACTGCATACTTGGGGATGACTCCTCCTTGACTAGGCAGACGATATATATGTATAAAATTGCATTCCAATAGCTAGTTAACAAATCTCTAGTTACAGTGGCATGTTATTTGGTAAAACTTCTCATTTGGTTAGTAGAAAATAATTAGATTCTTTGATTAATACCAATTCCAAATAATTGTCAAGGTGAACTAAAATTTTGAGAACTTCCTGCCAGTTAAATAACTTCTCCAATTCCCCCTTTTCTACTCAGACTTTTTGTCTTCTGGTTTCTTTTCCTGCTCTGTGACGTTTTCCGTGCTTTTGTCCTCTATCTTTTCATCCTCGCCAGCTTGTCTTCGTGAAGTGCTCCGGAAAAAGAAATGATAGGTGTGATAGAAGGCAGCCCAGAGGATCAGGAAAATGAATCCGTAGTAGTTGACGGCGCCGTAAACAACGATCCATCGCTCCCATTTCAGGAACACGAATGCCGTCAGACACCAGCCCATAAAACATATGTTATACGACTTCATAACAATGAAGTACAACAGCTTGTAGATGTCCGATTTGTTGAGAATGTGGCCCCACTTGGGCAAAACGACTTTGGTGTAGAAGCGTGTTATCTAAAAAAACGGAAAAGAACAGATTATTGACCGATTGGAAATGTAAATACCATAAACAACTTCTTAAAATCTAAACTTCGTTCTGGCTTTGTGATTCTTTGTTTAACTTTTTTATGGCCCCTATTACAACCTAATTATACTAACAAATAATAACCTCATTAAAGCTTTATGGCTCAAAAAGGTCGTAAAAAATTGTTCAAAACACTTATGGCTAAGCTCAATCATTTCTGACCTGGAAGTTAAATGCATTTAGCAACATTTAAATTCTTCCGCTAATTTAAAATAAAAAATATCCCAAATTAAATATAATTGTTTTAACCAGGAGTTCATAAATAATATTGAAATAAGCTTTGAGATCTTGTTTAGAATTGCAGCTACCATTCAGCTACGTCTTTAATTGTACGGGTACAGTTTGAGGTCTCCAAAAACATCCTGAATTTCAGATATAAACCCAAAAAAAGGCACTCACCTGTTTCTCTGTGCTCACGACCATGTATTCCATGAGGAAAGTCATGTAATAGCCACTGTGATATCCGTGCCAGACGGCCAGGAAACCCAAAGCCGCGCCATAGCTGATCGTGCGATTATTTAGGAACTTGAGTCGCTTGTAGATGTACTGTCCCACCCACTGATTGGTGTTGACATTGAAGCTTTGCACGTAGTGCTCCATGGTGTTTCCGCTCTCCAGGAGCTTTAGCTTGACATTGCTGCAGCCCGACCAATCCGGCTGTCCATTCTTGTCCTCGCCTTTGTAGGTTAATCCAATGCAGATGAGGGCTCCCTCGGTGAGAAGCCAGCAGGATATATATTTGTATAGACTGAACTTGGCCCAAAAGCCCAGGTAATAAATCTTCCTGATGAACGCAACCTCTGCAAACTCCGGGGTGAGGAAGTACGAGTCAGGGAAATAGCTCAATCCCAATTGACAAACGATGAGGTAGAAGGCCCCAGCTCCAAAGCGACGAATGCCAGCATTCAAGCTCCCCTCGTGCTGACGGAATTGGCCATTAACGAAGGCCTGGTATCGGCGATACGGAAACTGCGGTCCCACCAAAAATCCACTGGGGAAATAAGCAAAAGCAAAGAGTTCCAGCAGCGAAGGTGGTTCCTTCAAAGCAGTTTCCTTCTGGTCTTTCGAAAGCTCCGATTCCTCTTTCAGTCCATCGGTGATATCAAAACCAAAGCCAATCATACGGAGTACCAAAATGCAATGGGGCATCGTCCACAGGATATCGTAGTCATTGCTGGAGGTGAAGAAGTAGCCCAGCAGCAGATAACTCATGTGGAATACAAAGTTTATGGCCAGAAATATTTGTGCTTTCTTGCGCAGGAAAAGTACGAGGAAATAGGTGGTCAGGATGGCCACCAAGGAGTGATATGTGTCGTGGCCGTAGTTGAAGTAACACAATCCAGCGCCACATCCGGCAAAGAACATGTGATGTACGGTCTTATCGTGAATAATAGCAATAAATTTCAGATAAAATGCTGCCAAGGGATAACCTGAAAGCAATTAGTTGATAAATGGTAAGATATTTAATTTATATATAAACTTAAAAAGTAATTTGCCAATTTGTGTCCTATAAAAATAATTTTAAATTATGTCACAAATAAACTACATTATTTATGTATCAAATTATCATTGCTTTGGTACTCATTAGTTGTAATACAACATTTTTGTGAGCTGAGGCTCGTACTTTTACTAAAGGGTATTATGTAATAGGCTACATTTTTTTTAAGCCACTTATTTTGTGTACAAATTTGTATTGACCAAAAAACGGGAAAACATTTCTAGCCCCTTTTGCTTGGCCATAAACACTTGTGCATATAGTCTATGTCTACTTTTGTATTTTATATATACAAAAGTAATGAGCTTATGTATGTGTTTTTTTTTTTAACTAACTTAATATAGGTACATATGTTAATTTACCAAAAATAACATATTTACCAAAGATTAACATGTGTACCTAGATTAAGTTAACAAAAAATAAGCATACAAAATCTCATTACTTTACGAACTAAGCCCTAAAAACTTCTCGGAGTTTAATTTTCATGCTATAATTAGGAATAAGGACAAACTTTATTTTTAAAAATGTTTAATGAAAGGCAAATTTGAGATTTATTGGGAAATAGGTTGAAAGAGGTATGGCCTGATGAACTTAGTCATGGGCCTCCCAAGGCTTACCGGCTACGATGGTTAGGAGAAGTCGGAATGCCTCCACGGGAACCCCAATTGCATCTGCGACTCCATCCATTAGGCCCTTGTGTGGCAAGATTTCCGTGAACTCCGTCATGCTAAATCTGGAAAAAATGAGTTGCAGCGATTATCAGTGACTTTACTCGCGTGGTTCATTGTCCTTATCACCCAGTAATTGTTGTTATTGCTGTTGCCTCATATTACGCAAACTGATTGTTTTTTTATCATCACACGGGTGCGGGGGAGGGGGGAAGATTAATCAAAGAAGAAGAGCAAAGCAGAGGCAACAATAACAACAACAAACGAGTGCACTTGGTCAGGGTCAATGAGAATTGAAACACAAAGGCCGAATTATCTCGGCGAGCCACTGAATTCAATAATGACGCACTTGCCACCGCACGGATTTAAATATTTTATGCTTATTGATTTCACGGTCAGATCATAAAAATGGATGGGAAAAACAAACGAAAGCGGCAAGCTAAATTGTTGGCCAAAATTACCTAAAGTTACTAAACACTGGAGCAGTGTGGCTGTTGACGGGAGCATAGAAAATACCTAATTCTAACAGTAATAGTCACGCGGATTAACCCATTAAAGGTGGTTGGGGGTAAACTTATTTTCACATTTTTAACATTAGTAACTACATGTGTATAATAAAAACTTAAGTCTGAAAATGAAATCTATACAAATGATAAACTTATAAAGCAAATGAGAAGGAAATAAATGCAAGAGATATAAAATTTCAAATAAAATAAGGCAGTTGGAGGTGGTTAATAAAAAATGTCATTGTGTCCCTTAGCATTTATATTTTATAAAATTATGCTAGTTATTATACTTTTTTTTAGTTTTTGATTTCAATTAATGTACCTAACTAAACGGTATAAGACGAAAAATTACGATCAGCCATGGGTTAAACGAATACCGTAAAAACAAAATACGGTAAGTGTTAGCTCGCGCGCTTTGGTCACACTATCCGACAACCAACAATTGGATTGTATTTTAAAAATATTAATTTATTTAATCTAAGCATTAGTCAGCCACAACCGAGAATTGTGACGAGGGGTCAAGGGTCAATGTGCAGTCAGCCACCGAGGTTGACCCCAGAAAAGAAAATACCAACAGCTGTTCTGCCGCTGGGTGAGAATCCATGTTTACGTTTACGTGTCACTTGAATGGGACTCTGTGATTTCCGGATATCGAACTAATTTGCATCATATTCTAAATAATTTGTAGCAATCCGGATGCCAAACTGGCACACACGGGGAGCAGTATGCGCCGCAACAACTACCCATATCAGCCCCTGAACCAGCAGCCATCTGGATCTAATCCTCATCCCGCCAGCCATGATTCCCTGGAGGCCGAAAATGAACAGGCCGCAGAGGAGCTGAAGCAGAAGATCGGAGCCCTCAAGTCCCTCACCATCGATATCGGGAATGAGGTGCGCTACCAGGACAAACTCCTGCGCGGAATCGACGATGACATGGATCGAACGAGTGGCTTTCTGGGCAACACGATGACGCGGGTGGTGCGGTTGGCCAAACAGGGCGGTGGTGCCCGCCAGATGTGCTACATGTTTCTCTTCGTTCTCGTCGTCTTCTTCATCCTCTGGCTGACCCTTAAGTTCAAGTAGTTGTTGCTAATTTTATTAAATATATACCCACAAATTTGTATTGTTTAGTCTAGAGAGAGAGAGAAAGCTTTAATTTTTTTGGAATGTCCATCAAATGACTAGGTTTTTGGATACTTCATTCAAAAAAAAAAAAAAATTAAGTTACATCTGTTATTGTTTTCTATTCTATCACAAAAATTATTTACAGTCAATATTTTATCATGTCATTTTATCCATATCATTCATTACCAACAAAATTTGATTTGCTATACTTTTTACTTACTTTTTTATTAATTAGCGCAGAGAGTAACTATTTGCTCAAAGTACAAAAAGAGACACACGCATACAAATTAAGGTCGAGTGGGTGGGTTACAGTATGGACTTACAACTAATGATGATTATGATTATCGGACTTGTTACAGTTTTCATTTTCAAGTAATTTGATCGAGTTTAAATTGATTTGAATTTGGAACCAATTCCTTCACAACTTTGGAGGTCTATTGCTTTTGGGTAACACAACTCTAAGAAAAGTAAACTTAAATCGACGAAAATATTCACAAGATTGGCGAAAGCGAAAACCGGAACGTGCCTGTATACCGCATTTTGGACTGGCCAAGCGGCTATGCGTGGAAGGTCTTCATCTTTTTATTACGTCTGCTGAAATCTGGCTCGAGGTCATCCTCGTCGGCCTCCTCGCTGCCCAATTCATCCTCGCTGAGAAATTCGGCATATTGATCGCCATTCGGACTCTCCAACGCTCGAACTGTGGAGTACAGAAACGAATTTTATGTTCATGTTCACTTTTAAAAGGGTGTTTTTAACTGATTTTACTTTGCTGATCTAAAATAATATTTTGCTTTTTGATCTCCTCTATATCCTTCTGGTTATCACTGATCTTCCGCCTCATTGTCTGTATGCATTCGGTGGTCTTTTTCAGGATCTGGGCTCGACTCGCCTGTGAAATAACAATTATTTTTAAATCATTATAGTTTAAAGTTATAATTGGGCTTAGTGGATATATTCAATACCTATTTCTCTTTAATTATTCTCGTTTTAAAATATTTAAGGTTCCCCATGATAATTATTTGTGCATTTGAGATAAGGGTTACATCAGTTAAATTAAATTTCAAACAGTTACCTATGAACAATTATTTCTTGATCTGTTTTCTTGAACACAACCGAATATTTATAAATCAGCTTCTCTTATGTCATTATAAACAATTATAGAAATGTGTAGCTGTTCCCTTCCAACCGAGTCTCCAGCTCTTGTATCTTGACAGGTGCTAGTTTCTTGACAGCCATTGTGCGCCACATGATCACCCAGTGCCCTCCATTACCTTCTCGCCCTTGAGAGTGGGTACCGCCTCTCGCAGGTTGGTGAAGCTTTCCTTGATGTGATCCCGTCGCCTTCGTTCCAAGGCGTTGTGATGCGCTCGCTTTTCGGCCTTTAAATAATCGTTAAATATATATGATTATAATCGGAGATATAGTTGAGTTCTGAATAATATAAGAGGTGTAATGTGAAATGCTTCTAAAATATATATACATATACATTTTACTATATACCATACATTTTACACATTTTCTAATACAGTTGAAGAAGTAAGGTTTTAAGCCAAACCAAAAAAAATCCCTGTTGAAAAATCCATTTAAATAATTTTAAATAGTTTTATAAAAATTTAAATTTTTCCTACAAAAATATGTATAATAATAAATTAAATTTGCATAATTTGAAACATACATTTACTATCTATGTTAAGAATTTTAAAAAAGAATATTAAAAGCTATTATTGTGAACATGGCTGTATGTAATCACCATTTCGTAACAACAACAACATGTGCGTTCTGTTTATCAACAAAATGGAAATGTGCGCAGTCGCTTCTTGTTTATTTGAGGCCAATTGATAGTCACCTGTGTGAAATTCGCAGTGCTCGTGTGTCGTGAGGATCCCAAACCATTGTCCGAATCCCCATCGTCCTATAATAATTAGTAATTTGGAATTATAATACGCATAAAAACACACGTAGTTTTCTTTTCGATTTGCTTACGTCACTTTCGATATCAATATCACGGTCGTCGTCGCTCATACTCATTTTGTTGTTTCACTTGTTTGCAGGGGTTTCCGCGCAATTAATTATTTATTTTTGGAGAGTCAGCTATTTATTGCGAATGTTTGTTTGTGATTATTGTAATTAAATCTGTTGTTGTCTGTTTCACGTTTTACGACCGAGTGTGCCCGCATTCTGGTAGCCAGAAAATGACAAAATTATACATCACCATGAAAGCCCGCCATTTGCATTTAAATTTTGAATTCATTTTTTTTATTAATATTATTTATTTTGGAATACTTGCTGATGCTGAACATTAAAGAAGATTAATTCGTTATATAAAACAAACTGTATTGTATTGGAATACAGTTTTAAGTCAAGACAATGTGGCCTGTCCAAATAAAAATTTTCAAATTTATTTTTAAGTCCAAAAGAATTAATTCTCTAGTACGTTGTTCTTTAAATTTAAAAGTTTAAAATCCGAAGCAGGGAATACCCCAACTACTTCAAAGCACAAAACAGTCACACTGAAATTATCGCCAGTGTGACCACACAAAGCCGCGTGCAAAATGACAGAAGAAGAAGCATAAGCACATATTTTCCACATCAAGTTCCGAATTTTTGACAATTAAACTTAGACTATTTGATGGCTTTTCCCACCACAAGTGCCCAGCAAGCCGAGACGAACCGCAAGATACTCGAGGAGATTCAGACGAAGAAGCAGCTGCTGGCGGGCGGGATCATAAACTTGGGACTGACTGGCACTGCGAATCAGGTGGGTTTATATGGACATGGAATGAGGAGATTCCAAGGAAATAACATGGATTTTTGTTCGCACCTTTAGATGCCAGCACCTCCATTGCTGGGACAGCCGACAACAGTGACTTCACCCGATTTCCAGGTGGGCGTGGGCATTGCCACCAATGCCACATCCACCGCCCGCTCTGCATTTAATCCGACGAGCTCTACAACTCTGGGCTTCTTTGTACCTCAGGATTCGTATTTTGGAAACAGTTTTATACCCGTGCTGCCTCGTCTGGAGCCGCTGCCGTCGCCCGCGACCACACCCACCGCCACCACAACCAGCCCCCAAAGCGTTCCGAGTATCAGCAAATCGTAGTAGCTGAACCAACAGGAGCCATCATAATGGCCCGAATGAAGCTGAGAAAGCTGGAGGAGTACCTGCAAGGTGTTGATGGCTTCGAGCAGCCCAAGATCTTGCTGGAACAGTATCCCACTCCGCCGCACATTGCCGCCTGTATGGCCCATCATATGCAGGCGCAGCACGGCGATATCGAGGGCAGGCTGGTGGGAGATCTGGGCTGTGGCTGCGGAATGCTCAGCATTGCATCCACTCTGCTGGGCGCCCAACTCACAGTGGGCTTCGAACTGGACGGCGATGCGGTGGACACATTCAGAAGCAATGTGGTGGAGATGGAACTGCCCAACGTGGACTGCGTGCGGGCGGATGTGCTGCAGCTGGCGGGGAGCAAGTGGGAGAAGTCCTTCGACACGGTGGTGATGAACCCACCATTCGGCACAAAACACAATGCTGGCATGGACATGCGATTCCTGGAAGTTGCTCTGCAATTGGCCAACACAGCGGTCTACTCCCTGCACAAGACTTCAACAAGGTGAGAAACTCACTTATCGCTAAGATTTTCATCTTGATTTGCTAAACTATTCTGGGTTTTAACAACAAATTCTCTTAAATTTAGTGTACCTAATGGACAACTAATTTCCAGGCCCTAAAGATTTTGAGTAGCTTACATTTTGGTTCTCTAAGCATTATAATAATTTTAAATTTATGGTCCTAGCGTTTTGATTTCTTTACTTTCTATCAATTATTCAGTTTTTATATAAGTTTTTAGTATTGGGGTTTAATTAAGCCTTTTTTAGTAATGCATTTTCGCTCAGAAAATCAGAAAATATCTTAAGTTATCCTTACTCATTTGCTTCCCTTTAATCTTTCTTCCAGAGCCTACATCCAGAAAAAGGCCCAGGAATGGGGCGCCCGTGGCTCAGTGATTGCCGAACTCCGCTACAACATCGATGCCAGCTACAAATTCCATAAGCACAAGTCCAAAGACATTGAGGTGGACTTCTGGCGCTTCGACATCAGTGAAGAATAGAAATAATTAACTCGGTTGCATTTAATTTTGGACATTATTTATGTATTTTAAATTGTAGCAAATAGGAAAATATTAAAATTGATCATATCTCTTTTCTACTCCACATTGAAGACAACGCCCTGGGCGCAGGCCAATTCGCCGGAGTGATTGACTGTGATGGTGGCCCGCTTGCAGTACTGTTTCCAGGCATCCGAACCGGATTCCCGACCACCTCCGGTGGCCTTCTCTCCACCAAAAGCTCCGCCAATCTCGGCGCCATTGGTGGTGGTGTTGATGTTGACGATGCCACAATCCGAACCCCTGGCTCCAATCCACTTGAATGCCTGTCCGATGTCCTCGGTGAAGATGGCAGAGGACAAACCCTGCTCCACCTCGTTGTTCCATTCGATCGCTTGGTCCACGTTCTTGACCTTGAGGATGTACACGATGGGTGCAAAGGTTTCGCGATGGACAACGCTGGCATCGTGGGCCAAGCCAGTGATCACAGTGGGCTCCACGTAGAAGCCATCGCGCTGGATAACCTTGCCGCCAAAGGCCACTGTTCCGCCCAAGGATTTCGCCTCCTCAATGGCCGTTTTGTAATTCTCCACGTTCTGTTGCGTGTGCACGGGACCGACCAGAGTTTGTGCCTCCAACTGGTGGCCAATCTTGGGTATTAGCTGTTTATATTTGCCAACCAGCGCCTTCACAAACTGATCGTGCAGCTTTTCGTGCACAATAATCCTTCTGGTGGTGGTGCATCGCTGACCACTGGTGCCAATACAACCAAAGAGTGCTGCATCCAGGGCCATTTTCACGTTAGCTGATTCATCGATGATCAGGGCATTATTACCGCCCAACTCGAGGATGACTTTGCCGAACCTGCGCTGGACCTCCACGCCCACATCTCGTCCAGTTTGGCAACTGCCAGTGAAGGACACGAGGTTCACTCTCTTGTCAGCCACCAAAGTCTGACCCACATCGGTTCCACCTTGGCAAAGGGACACCACCGGCGGGAGATTGTTCCTGCGCAGCACATCGGCCACAATTTTGGTGGTGGCCACCGAGACCAAGGGCGTGCTGGGAGCTCCCTTCCACAGGACACTGTTGCCAGTAGTCAGCGCAATGGCCGCATTCCAACCGAAGACGGCATTGGGGAAATTGTAGGCCGAAATGACGCCCACCACACCAAGTGGACGCCAGGCTTCCAGAATCGAGTGATCGGCCCGCTCGGAGTTGATCAACTGACCGGAATAGATCCTGGACAGACCCACCGCATAGTCGCAGATGTCGATGAACTCCTGAACCTCACCCTGACCCTCGCTGTAGATCTTGCCCACCTCCAGGGAGACGAGCTTGCCCAGCGGTTCCTTGTACTTCCTCAGCTCATCTCCGATTTGCCGGACGATTTCACCTCGCACGGGCGCCGGAACCTGACGCCATTGCTTGTAGGCCTCCACGGCCAAGCCGATGGTCTGATCCAGTTCCTGGACATTTCCCTGACGCACTGTGGCAATCGGCTGGCCAGTTCCGGGATCGTAGCTGGTGATGGAGGGACCGCGCCCCTGCCACTGACCGGAATAAACACCCGGATTATCCCGCTCTAGGCCCAGTTCCTTAAGGAAACTGTATTCCGGTTGGTCGATCAGGAACGATGTGGACGATGAGGAGTAGCTGGCGGATTGGGTGACCAGTCGGCGGGGCAGCGCCAGCTTGGAAAGATTTCTCAAATGTGCCAACATTCTGCAAAAAGTTAAAAAGAACTTGAATTTTTAAGCAGGAAATACAAGTTATCATATAAATATTTATTTATTTATTTAAGATTCATCATAAAACTATACTTTTATACTCAAGCATGGGTATTGAAAATGTAGATAAATGGTGTCATGAAAAAGGAAATTTAATTTTAATTTAATTATCATTATAATTGCATTGTTTTGCAGAATGATAAATATCCAATTTTTTTTTAATAATTGTTATCAGACACTTATACTTTCGCTTTCTTAAGTTCAGTAAAAACTGAATTGGTATCAAAGTACTAAGTTAACACAATTATTTTTGTACAAATTAATAAAGTAATAATTTTTGTAATTTTTAATATGTGTTATTTTTATTTTTTTAACCTTCTACTTTAAGATCATATGTTGTTTTTTAGCGCAGGAGAGCGAGAGGAGATTTATGGATTACTGATTATGCCCTGATACCATTCTTATCGAGCGATAAGAGCAGAGCTCCGTCTGTTTTCTGGTTGCTGGCTGGAAAGTTTTTTTAGATCCCCAGCAGAGCGGACCCACTGATAGCATCTCAATTGAGGCGGTACTCACTTAATATGTGTTTGCCCGGATTTAAAGTAGGACTGTCCGAGTCGCAAGTCAATTATCAACTGAGGGCAGATCTGGCTTTTGTTGCCAGCTTATCGCAGGCGTAAACTGAATTAAATGCAAAGAGAGGCGGTGGGGAGCTCAGTGGGCGTCTTATCAATAATATTAAAAGAAATGAGAGGTTGAGTGCAGCAAGCAAATAAAAATAAAGCATACTTTCAGATGGTAAGACCAAAATAACAGAAAATATGGTTGATTTAAACTTAAACTTATAAAGCTTAAGTAATATTAAAAATATGTAAGTTAAAGTATTTGTATCTCTATTTTCTTTTTCGCCAAGAAACTAAAATATAAATTTTAGTATGAATAAGAATTCGAACCATCTTTAAATTTTCAGCATAAATTTAATAACAAAATTTTAATAAAAACAATTTAGAATTCATTTTAGAAAAGGTACCAATAACAGAAAACCTACTAAATAATCGCTTTTTACTTTCGAATGACCATCCATCAATTGTACTAATAATTCTGTTACCCTGGCAACTAGTAAACTAAATAAACTGTTTGTTCGTTAGGACACATAAAGATAGTTTTCTGTTTTATAAAAACTTGATCAAATTAATACATAATGGAAGTGCTTGAAGAGGGAAATTTAATGGACAGAGTGCCGATTTTACTGCAGCGCGATCTCGAGTTTTACCAGGTATTATTTACATGTATTATATATATCCCATTTGATGTCTTTAGTCGCTTATGTAATAAAATCATCTCTTTAATCAGACTCATCAACGGGTGCTTCAGGAACCAATTTGTTCAGGAGTTGTGGGTGGAAAACTGGATTTTCCACGTTACGCTTCCTTTGCTGCTATTAAATTAATAAGATGGTAAGTATTTAAAATATGGTGGAGACAAACATAGGATTAGGGTTGAAAATACATTTTCAAGAAATTCCAAACTATTTTTTTTCCAAATCTAAATGTAGTTTTGCTGTTTTAATTAAAAATATAATCATTATAACTTCTTCAGGTGGGAAGATGAGTACTTTGCCTCTTACCGAAAGCCCTCTGGACTTTTGCATACCGAAAAGGAAATGAATGAAGGAGATTTTGTAAGTTAATATTTTATTTTAAAAGTATAAGAATATGATGTATAGTTCGCTTACCCTAGTCCAGTGTCACCGTGAAGACCTCTGATCCGGATAAGTTTGTGCAGCTGGTCACCAAATCGGCTGACTTACTTCTGGAGCACGTTCATCGCCTTTCGCAGGAGTCCTTGGATCATGCGGACTTATCCGTGCTCACTGCCACAATTGGAGCTGCTTCGCTGGTGAAGAATTCCCTCAGTGTTTATATGCAGGCAGCCACCACCACTATTTGTCCGCCGAAAGGCGATGAAAAGGGTGGTGCTCTCAAGCTCAGTTTCAAGCAATATTCCCAGATGTCAGAGGCCTTGGCTGAACGACTACTGGATCTCCACTGCCGATTACTGCTACTCTATATAATGCAAGATGCCGACTGTCTGCATTGGGAGGATACTCAACCGTTTTTCGAATCGGAACGGGGTTCCTATACCGTTCAGATGTGGTGGCATTATATGAGGGGCTCCAAAACCGATCTGTGGAATTCGGTGCCACCGAAAATGGCTCAAAAGATATTCGCCGGAATGCTAAACGAAACGCTGAGTGTACTGACTGTACGATATACTCAGATAGTGACCAGTGTGGCTAGATCCACACTCCATCTGGTGGACATCTGCAATATGCTCCTCTGCATCGCTGAACTACTGCCCCATATTTGTGAAAGTGGTGAGGCCTATGTGGGATTGCAGCTAAGTAATCAGAGCGTTATCCTCAGGGATATTCATGCTAAGTGCAGGGAACTCTTCTATTGCCTCCTCCTAAGGGGTTCTCCGCTTGGAGTGCTTTCCAAGGTAAGACTTTTGAGAGTGCGAGAATTGATTTTAGAATATATATAGAGAGATATCTTTCGTTAACATAATTATAAATTTTAAAAATTCCAAACGTTTGTCTTGTTTATTTTATAATTTAAATAGAAGGAGCTTTTATAATAAATAAATCTTGCATTAATTCTTCAAGGTTTTTCGTAAAGGCTTGGACAACATGGAAATGTTTAGCTCTCGTCACGGTTTACCCAGTGCTTGGATTATTTTTGCTCTTCCCAGATATTTTCCCAAGGAGCAGTCCTGTCAATGGGTCACCGAATTCTCAGATCTTTCTACCAACACAGCTATTTCCTTGGACTTGAGGGTTTTACTCGCCTTTCCCGAGGCAGATTGGTCGTATCTGCTGAAGATTCTCCTGATGAGAGATGCATATCTCACTGGCATTATAATGCGACATCTGATGCAGCATTTACCTTCCTCGGAAAACTTTAAAAACGTGGCTAAGATTTCATTTACCAGCGCCGAAGGGGCTCCTCAAAAGTGCGAGGCATTTTTGTGTCGCGGCGAGTGCTTTAATGTCACCGATTCAATAGCTGGGGATGTAGGTGAGTAGGTATTAACTACAAATTAAGAAAATAAGTGAAAATTGTAAATTAATGGTTTGGTAAACTAAAAATAGATTCTTTTCCGAACAGATCCTGTGGGGCAATCCAACTACCAGATTGTCCTCTCACTTACTTACTTAGTGGTAGCCGTAGGCAAGGCGGTGGACATTAAGTCCTGTCTGATAAAAACCCTAGAGGAGCATGCGGTTGCAGGGTGGAGCGATTGCCTGGACAAGAGGCAAGTGTGGAACCAGAAGCGAACTCCCTGGTTGGAGGCCATCATGCACTTCGTTTACCCTGTTCTCGATTGTGTGGTGGATATGTTAGTTAATGCCGTGGAAAATGGAGCCAGCATGTATGTACCCCAAGCCAAACTTGTAAACAACTTCATTTACAATGTCTATAAAAAAAACCTAAGATTGACTTTTCCGGAAGAAGTGTTATTTCAAAAATATCAAGTATACGCCTCGATAACATTGTTTTACAACTTAAAGGAATAATTGTTTATGATATTTAACCTCATGAGTTTTTTTAGTTTAAAGTTTGCCTTACAAACTAAAATTTGTAAGTGCATAGTCTATAAACAACAAGAAATCTGAAGCACTTGAATACATTAAAGATGACATATGTAAATGTTTATTTTTAAATACAAATAAATTTTCCTACAGGTATCAAGCGATGTCTTTGGCTCTAACGTGTGTCTCTGAGATCTGGGACTGTCTTCCCGAGGGACTCTACAAAATTGCTTCTTTGCTACAGGATATCATACCTGTTTCGACAAAACCTTTGGGGGATTCAGTGCTATTGCAGGTGGTTTTTGCAGCTCTCTATACAGAATTAATAAAAACCGCCGAAATGTATGAACAGGGTGAGTAATAAATGAGTTTTACTATTATTATGTTGTTGTAAGTGAGAATTTATATTAAATTATTTTCAGCCAAAAACGAGGACAAGGCCGCCATCTGTTACTCGATATCGGAGGCGATTTGCTCAATTGACGAGGATGACAAGCACACGGATCAGATCGAATTGTTTCTTAAACAGGCCAGGGAGAGTATTAAATTGGACACCGATTTCGGGGGAACAGTGGGTGGCAATAATCGAGGGGCTGGCGGAATGAGTGCTGTGAGTACCATCAAAATGGATGATTTGGCCTTGACAAATGCGGAATCAGATCGCCTGAGCCACAGTCCACCAAATAACTATGCCATGGAGTTGGATGTGGGCATTGCAGATTATATAGCCGAGGTTCTGGTCAGTGATGTTTTGACCACAAACATTGGAAAACAGGCACTGAAAGTGGTTTATAACTATTTGAAATTTAACAAGGACTGGTTACTCGAACAATTGGGAACGGGTGATAATGATCCGAGTCCTTTTCAGGGTGTTCAGGGTCAGAATATCAAGGAGGCCAAGACCTCCGTGCTGAGGTCCATGTTTTTCATCGGCAATACCCCCTTTGACCAGCTGCTCACGGGCTCTCTGAAAATCGACTATGTCAGTTGGCTGCAGATGCCGTTGTCCTTGAATCCGGAAAGGACCTGGCTGCATTTAACCAGACGCTGTGACTTCCAAGAGGATGCCAAGCTGTCGCTGCCCGAGGTCGCCATGGTGGCCGGGATTACCAAGATAATGAAGCGGCGCAAGGAGTTTCCCAAGTGAGCTACGCGGGAAGCGTCATTAGCAATGCGTGCACTGGAAAACATTGGGGGTAGCTTTAGGTATAACTAAAATTATTAATATAGAAGTAAAATAATAATTGAATTAACTAAAAACTTGGTTGCTAATGGAAAAAATAATTAAATATCCTAATCAAAAAAATCTTTATAAAGAACTTATGTACTTACCTACAACAAAAATAATTAGCCAAACTAATTTATATGACTATGTCAAAGAGGATGACAAATATTTCCAAAATGCATTGTAGCAAAATGTGGGACAATTTTGATTTAAGGTTCATGAAATGCAAAATCTACAATTAAACAAGGTACATCTATTTTTAAAACTTAAATACAAAAGTTAAAAGAAATACAACAAAATTCTTTTAAAACATTTAAAGGCAATACAATTTAAAAAAAAATAAAACAAAGATATTCACTAAATACTCATAGCTTTTAGGACGTCCATTTAAAAATTTAATAATTATATTAATTTAGATGTTTGTATCACGTCATCTAGGTTAAGATATAAGAGAACCACGTCCCAAAGCTTGCAAAAACAAGAGTAGATGCAGGACACGAAGTCAAAAAAATTTGAGGAAATTAAATTTTCCGAGTGTGGGGCAGCTGTAAATTATGTCGTAGATGGTGGCGACAGTGGAGCGTTTCCTCGGGGGGATGGCCTCCCACTTTGGATGTCATTAACGCCGCATAATGCAAACAAGTCGTCTGACGATAGGCACCTTAGCAAATGCACAGCACAATAAGCGGAGGGGCTAAAAAAATATTTACTTCTGCTCCCCCCTGAATTTATATATGTATATGTGAGGTTTTGGGGGCGGTGTGACAACCGAAAATGTTTTTGTCCACATTTTGCGTAGTCGCCTGGCACTTGGCAATTGCTCAGCCTTTCTCCTGTCGTCTTTAGAGCTTCTTTTTGCCTCCTGACACTCCGTTCCTCATTCAGCCGGTTATGAAAATTACTGAAACGTGGCCAAGGAGGGGTGGGGGGAGGGTGTGATTCGGCAGAACCAAAAGCACGCACACACAGGACCACACTAGTAATAGCAACAACATGAGCGCACAGGACAACGTGACAAATAAAATCAAGCTAGCATTGGTAAGAAAATCTGCTGGACTATAAAGACTGCCACAATGCGCTACGTTTAGCAACTAATTGATCACTGCCAGTTACCATTTTAAACGACATTTCATTTCAATTTAGCTATTAGAGTACACTTTTATATATAAGAGCTTAAAATAGCCTTAGAACTTACAAACTGTTTAAAATAAAGCTATTTATAATATATAAAAAGATTTTATTTACCTGGAAAGTTTATCAAAAGTTTCATTTTGAAAATAATAAAACACAAGGTAATGCATTGATGAAATCAAGTGAAAAAGTTTTACTTATAACTTCAAAGTTACAAAAATTAAGTAAATCAAGCTAATATGTTCGAATTAAAACTGGAAAGTTAAAAAAATTAAATAGACATTTCTTAAATAATAAATAAAATTAAAAAAATATTGTTATATTTTAATTATGTTATTCCAATTTAAATTTGAAACTTTAAGTAATTAAATAGACATTTTTTAAATTGAAAGGATAAATTAGGAACATTTATTTAATGTATTAAATATTGTTAATAATAAGTAATGTTATATTTTATGATTTTATGATATATTTTATTTTGGCCCTAATTATAGCTTAATTGTGTTCCAACATAAAGGTATGCATCTTGTGGTTTATTGTTTGCAAGAACAAGTGTTTGGCAAATATAAATCCACTTTAAGGAAAATAAAATAAACAAAAATTATACATGCAAAAAGATAATAAAAAATGCAATTTATTTCCATTTTATTTATGGTAATAAACGCATTTCAATTCATTTCTTAATAATAAATAATATTGAGTGTCAAAAACAACACATCTGTCTCAAATTTCATTTAAAACAACATAGAATTAATTGTGGTTTCCATAAATCTCAACATACAAATATGTTTTTTGTGAGAAGCATTTAAAAAGAGATAAACGAGAGTGTCCTTTCGTAACAAATCAACTTAGCAGTTTCAAATGCAGCGCCCCATTGGCTGGCAGTTGGCTACAAAGTCGGTGGCAGTTGCAAAGGCAGCCTCAGCGGCGACTCTGGATCTGACTCCGAAAATAGAAACGATTCCTTGCTTGGTCCTTTCATTCAGTTTCATTCAGCTGGCGCTGCTGGAAGCGTGCGGACGTTCGTTGTTTAGAGCTCGGTCATAAAGTCAAGTGCCAAAGTGGCAGTGGCACCTCACAAAAAAAATTAAAAAAAAAAAACAAGAATAAAAAGGAAAAATTGAAACCAAAAAAAAAAAAGAACGAGGAGGGCACACAACGTGCGGGTGTAAAGTGCAAATGGTAACGGTAATTTGCAGACATTAGTTGCCATACACAGACACACACACACGCAAACGGACCGGTGATTAAATGCCGTGGAAGGAGAGGTGCGAAAAGTGTCACATTACGCATACGCAGCGTATGCCCAAATTAAATGCTGAAATTTAAAAGCACACAGCGAGTGGTTCTTAGTTGGTACATTGGAAATGTTTGTCGTAAAGTTATTTGGCCACTTAGTATGCCAAGCACGTAATGGATTTTTGTGATGAGGATACGGCTCTTTGATTGTTTTATTAGCGATTCCTTTGGACAGTAACTTTGAGTTTGGTATAAAAAATATTTAAAAAAACGTAAAAGAAAATAATGGTTATAAAACAAAATTTAAGTTTGTCATATATGCCAAATAAAAGGCAAAAATAAATAAAAACGCTGAAACATTTGCTTAATTAGACATTTATAAATTCGTTAATCGGTTGCTTTGTGCCATTATATAGAAATAAAAACTAGAGAACAAAGATAACAGTAACACCAAGCATTTAAAAATAAATAATTTATAAAATAAGTGTAATATTTATATTCAAAGTTGACCATGAGTCAAATGCAACTGCAAACGCAACGCGTTCGCCGCGGACGTCACCATCACCGTCATCAGTCCGCAGAGCCTTGCGAGTGTTTACGTCCTGTGATAAGAGTTTTCGGTCTGCTGACTTCATTCGGTAAGCTCAAGTGCCTGGAAATCCATGCCAGTGAAATAAAATTCCTCGCTCGGTGCCCAGGTGACCCCCTGGTCTCAAGATAATGCCAATCACGATATGGGGTTATGATGCATGTGCTTGAATATATGTATGCATGTGCATATACATAGTACACTTCTCTTTTGGTCCTTTTCGGAATGTTTACCCTTGACAAATCGTAGAAAATGCTTGTGCATAGAAATCATAGCCCCAGGATATGTTGAGTGCTGTGGCTTATTATATTTCTTGGCATTGAATGGAAATTGTATGGCTAAGATGCTGAATAGGGACATGTTCTTATTGGCTGCTTTTATTCTTCCTTTCAATATAAATTATTATAAAAGCCATTTTTCCGTAAACACAATAGGGCTGGATTTGCCTGGCTAAAAAGAGGTAAAATAAATTTAAATAAACGCCATCTCCATTTTACCAGAGAAAGTAGGTTAATTTATTTAACACAATACACACACACATAGGTATTATATAAATATAATATTCAGTAACAATCCTTTGCTTACGAAGGTATCTTGTACAATCAAATTTTTGGTTGAATGCTTGTTTGCATAATGCAATAAATAGCATTTTAGTTTAGCTTAAAAGTCAATTAAAGCTGCACAATATTTAATTACATATTTCTCCTCATCAATTTCATAAAATTAAATTATGGATTATTCGTTAAAGCTAGCTTTTTGTTGTATTTTATCTCTAACAAATGAAGACAAAAAAATGGTTTTACAAACTAAAATTTGTGGCTTTTGTTTGTGAACTCATGAATACAAATTAAATGTATTTAGCAAGCATGGAAAAATAATAGATGGATTAAAAAAGTAGCAATTTAATATAAATTCTTTTTAATTAAATCAATATCTATGGATGCAGTTTTCCACCCACTTTTCATCATTTCAAACCATGGAAATCCAATCAAATTTTTTCATCGAATTTTTTCGGCCATCTGGTGCAGCTATCAAAGTTGGCTTTAACGCTTATCATGGCCAATCATAACGATTTTCCGGCAGCATCTGACATTTCCCTAATGGTCTTCAAATTATGCACCCTCGTTTTTTTTTTTTTTTTTTGAATTTTGATAAATTGCTGGTTTGCAGCATAACAAAAACTTTGGGTCAAGTTCAAACTAATTTCTTCGCAAGTTGTTTTGGGGTCTATTATGGATGCAGTGGCACGCAGAAAAACAAAGTATAAAAGCTGGATGTAGTTCATAAACCCCGCACAATGGGGGAAAAAGGATGGGGGTTTCCCAAGGAAATCCTCTGTCAGAGCCATTAACAAGGCATTGGCCTCTATGCAGCTTGCAGCTAACATCTCGCATCCTGTGCCAAGAGCAGAATTTTCCCCGTCCCGATTTCCCCCCTTATCAGCAGCTTTTCCATACGGTCGACAATGAGCTTTGTTGTTAGCCTTTTGGCGCCAGCCATTCGCCAAGTTTCCCCTGCCTTTCTGGCCCCGATATCTATGTATTTTCCCTCCATCGCTTTCAATTATCCAGATAATTTTTGCATGTTTTTTCGATTTACGCTTTTTCAAATTTGTTCCGATGACAGCATTTAATGTAATTGGTTTGGTTTTGGTTCTGCACTTTTATTTAAATATCAGTCATATATCTAACTGACTTAATCTGATTGGTTTTTCGCGGCTCGGCATAATAAAAACAACTTAATTAGATTGGGTTTTTATGGTGGGCAAATGTGTGGCCATATCTTATATATTGGAAGTGGAAGTGGATTTGGTTGAGTCAAAATGGGGGGCCATAATGTGGCTAGAATATGAATATTGTAAGGGGATGCTTGACAAAATTTGCGAAGGGCGATTAATAAATTTGTCAAGAATTTTAATTCCTCAATTATAAAAGTAATTTTTCTGCAAAATTATTACAAAATTTTAAATTAACAATAAAAGTTTCTATTATATACAGGTTAAAATGTTATAACTTTATATAACATTTGTCTCAAAACTTTTAGGTTTCAAGCTCTGAAACACAATCTATAAATTTCTAAAGCACACCTCGTTTCTTTTCATTGGTTTTGTATTACATTTTATGGCCCAAGCGTGGTAAACAAAAAAGCCCCAACTCAATAAATATGCTTATAAATATATTTGCCTAGACAAAATCACATTATTTTATAGGCTCATTCAAGGGTAACGCTCCTCGTTTCAACCCGCCAGCAAGGACCCCCCGCATCGAAACTTTCTTAAGCCATTTTTCATTTCAGTTATCTGCGGCGTTGGTGTTGATGTCTACATGCATGGCTATCGGGCTGGTCTTTACATCGTGTAAGCCAAAGATCCAATAACCCTGAAAAATTTATTAATTTCTGGTTAGTTTTTCAGCCGTGCTGGTAATGTTCATAGAGATCAAGTGGCTCGTAACCATATTTCTGCAACTACAGTGCTCAGAGTGGGTATTATTAGACATAAGAAAATTCATTTGATTTAGTTTTCATTTTGTTCCCCCATTAAACGCATTAAAAATTTCATATTGCGAACTAAGCAATTAAACGTAGTGCTTAAACTATCTTAAATTATCATACCCACGTAAAATTATATTTAAATTACATGCAAGTCATATTTTATACAGTGTCTACCATAATCTGAACATTTTTATAATCGTTTTATTATCTTTAGCAACTCATTTTGTGATACTGATAAAAACACACAAAATTAAATTGGTAGTGAATGTATCCTAAGCCTCGTTAAAAATTCTCATTAAGTCCCTTAAGGCCCAACTTCCTTGACAATTTTTCTCAGTGAAATCTATTGCTTTAAATGTATTCATATACATATTTATGGATTTAATTTGTTCCAGGGATAATTACCAGCGGAGGTCCTGCAGCTGCCTGACTTGCTGGCGTCTTTCGGCGATTTGTGGCGGATGGCGACCCACGCCCGTTTATGCGGTCATCGGCATCTGCCTGATACTATATCCCCACAATCTGTGGCTTAGTTATGTGGCCGGAATGTTCCTGATACTCCTTGGTGTCCTCAGACTCTGCACGCTGCTCAGATTTAGTCCCTCGAAGGCAGAAGAGGGCCTCCTGCCGCATTGCGACTTTGAAAAGTGACGGCAGACAACGAATATCCATGTTATTTGTTCCTAATGTCTATTTGTTTTGTGTTGATAGGGTCTCCAGTTTTGTGGATAATATGGAGGATGATTTCGCAGAGCTTAGCGCCTCACAAGCGGCCTTGGATGACGAAGCGGAGGAGGAGGGCGACGACCCCCCGGCCATAGATGATGATGTTTGCTAATAGTTAAGATATACTTCTATTTTTCTCATTTGAAATTTAATTTCGATTTTTGAATAATGTGAGACTTTAGATTATTTTAAGATATCTAATAACATAAAGTTGGTAAAGAGGTTTCGATTGAAAAGTTAAATATATTGTGTTTTCATAACTGGACCTATGTGTCTGTATTGGAGATAAGAATCGTTTAACGTTTTATAAGATATTAACTATCAATACTTCTGATTTTTATCCGAATTTGCTTAAACTTTGAAAAATATTGTATATTGTATTTAGTTAAAAACTCTTAAAGTCCAAAAATAATTCCCAAACATGCAAACATTTTACTTGATTAGTTGTACTATCTATTTTATTTAATTTCTTCTTTTATTGGCTTTTGTGGTGAACGGATTTCTATAATGACTAAAGGCCAAGATGAGGGGTTGTTTGTCAGTCTGATCCTCTTCAAAAAATCTTAAGGCTCGCTCATCGCCATACTCATTGTCCTCCTCATTGTAGTACTGATCGTAATACCTAGGAGGTCCTTTTGGTCCTCCGCCATGTCCAGGTGAAGAAGGAGGTGGAGGTGGAGGTGGGTAGGGATAGGGGGGATAGGATCCTCCGGGGTAACCAGGTGGACCCTGTGGACCAGGTAATCCAGGCATACCGTGATAACCCTTATCACCCTTGGGTCCCTTCTCGCCAGGCTCACCCTTGGATCCTTTCGGTCCGGGATAACCCTTCTGACCCGGCTGACCCGGTGGACCTGGAGGACCTGGAGGACCCGGTGGGCAGTGGCAGTGCTGTGGCTGAGGCTGCGGATACGGATAGCTGGGCGGGTAAGCCGGCGGATGATGATGATGATGGTGATCGTAGTCCTCCTCAATAATCACTTCTTGTGGCGGCGAAGCTGGAGCCGGACTACCAGTTTGCAGGGTAATATGTCGAGGCACAGAGGCATCATTCTTGGCGCAAACACCTCCGAAAAGTACCACCAAAATAATCCAGTTCGCAAGGCGAACTTCCAAATGCGACGACATGCTGTAAACTAACCAAAATCAGATCATTGTCACTTCTTTTATATGGGGACAATGCCCTGAAGATGGGCAATCGGGGAGAATCATTCAAACTACCGTTAAAATAGCTCATTTCAGATTTATGCACATTGTCTGGCGATCCGTCTTATGCAAATTCCTCTTGTTTAGTAAACTAAGCCAACTATTTATAAAGTGTGCATAATTTGCATAAAAATCAATGAACGTGCTGAGTTCTTAAGTCGTTGAAAGAACTTTCACACTAAATGGGTGTTGGACTTTGTGATTGAGCCATGAAAAGTGAATTCTATGGCTTAATAAATAAAAAAAGACAAAACCTAATACTGTGAAGAAAGCAATCAAATTCATATAAACTATAAAGGGAACCAGAGCATTGACTTTTATTGGAGTAACCAAAATTACTTACCTGTGCTAACAATTTGAATATTTTAGTGTGTACTATAAATTTAATTTTTCCTCTTGCCATGCCAGCTGCCATTCATTTAATTTCAATGCACAAAAGAAAACACATTTTTAGACATGCAAAATGTTGCTGTTCGCATTGTTATTTTATTGTGGGTTCTTTATTATTCCTTTGTTAGTGTGAAGTGGAACTCATGTCGACAAAAGCCCCGCCCACATAAAAACCTTAACAAATTTCTGGTTTTTGGGCAGATCTCATAACATTTTCTCGCTCTTCTCACGAAATACTCACGCTTCAGTCTAAGTCATTTTGTTTTGTTGGGACTTCAGTAATTTTTCTGTGGTTTCTGCTACTTTAACATTTAGTATATGTAAATAGTTGTAACTTTTAAAGTTCATTTTTATTTGTTGTTTTTGCTTTTTTTTGTTTTACACATGTTTGCTATGCAATAAACATATTTAATATTTATTTTATGTTAATCATAAATTTTGTTTAACTATTATTCTCTCTTTTTTCGTGTTTTCGGTTGGAAAACCTTGAGGTAGCTGCGTTTGCAATTAATTGTTATAAGTATTTATTTGCTTGTTTATCCCTGATATAGGCTTTTTAAGGTTCTGTTGTGGATAAGAAGAGTTTGAATTGTTTTTATTATTTAGTAAAGAAACAAAGATAAGTAAAAGAATCAACAAAAGAGGAATAATTAAATTTTATATTTATTTTATTTTGTATATATATATATTTATATAATATTACGATATATATTACGCATCAACATATACATAAAAAATATTGAAATAGTGTAAAATAAAATTAAAGAATATTTAAAAAAAATCAAACATTAGAAGAATATCAACATTTAAGAGAAACAAAAGTGAAGGTTTGTCTGTTGTGTCAGATGGTTTGAAAAAGTCTTTCCGATCGGGGTACAAAGATCATAGGACTGGAGTATTTACTTTGGAACTGAAAATAGTCTGGTATAGTTGGCAAAAGTAAACTCGAATTGACTAGATAATGGATGTTGGTTAGTTAAAGTTAACTTTCGACATGGTCTCTGCGCTCGAATGGATCTAAAAACTTGGCTAAAAAATGATCTGGCAATTGTCGAATGAGCTAATCGTATAGTTGCTCTTACGAAACGAAGAGTATATATAGTAAATGGTGCTAAGCTCATATACTTCTTAGAACTGTTGAACTACGATTAATCGGAATTAATCATCTCACAAAAATGAATTCCTTAAGAAGACATCAACTGGCAGAAGTCCAATCTAACAAACCCGATCCAACCTGCAAACAAACCTAGGAACAAACCAAATAAAAACTGGGAAAAAAAAACTGAAAACAGAAGAAGACATTGAAGAAACTGATCTGATTTTTAGTTTGTTATCACTTGCTCTTCTTATAACATACGACTAACAACTATCTTTGGGATTCATTCGAACTGTGTTGGCTTTTGTTCTCATTCGCACTACTCAGGCTTGTTTAATTTATTTTTTTGTGGCCCTCCTTACATCTTCTCTTCCTTCTTGTCTAACCCTTCCCTCCTTTTCGTTCTATAAAAATATAAACAATTTTTGCCTTCTTGAGGAAGGGTAGGGTGATTCGATTTATGGGTGTGAAAAAATTGGAAAATTCTTGGGGGTGGTAAGTAATCTGTAGACAGTTCTTAGTAGCTTTTCTTTAGTATTTATAATCTAAATCTTCTTTTTAAAAGCTGAGTTTTAATCTAGGTTTTGCTTATTAAGTGGTTTAAGCCCTCAATATATATAATGACATATATTTAACTGTTTTTTTTTCACCAGAAAATAATCAAAACTGAAAAATGAACGCAGCTTTTAAATATAAAGACGTTCTTTGATTGAAATAGCCATTGTAAAACATTAGTTTTGTGGGCTACCTTTCCTGATACTCTTAAAATTGTCCATTAACAACTTAATCACACCCAGAATTTGTAGTTTAAAATCGAAACATCCTATTGAAGAGGTAGCCCAACGAAGGTAGGCATTCTGATCCGTGATCTCTGACTGGCTGGACATCTGGGATTCGGGGTGGGATTCTAGTTCGAATTTATTTAAGGGGACATAGACACAACCTCAGGGTGCGGGAGCAATCCCAGACCTTGGTGTCGTGTCCTTGGGTATGTTGAGGGTTCCTAAACGGGGGTTATGTGAACTCTAAGCCAGTGCCCGTAGTGCAAGCCCATCGCCACCGCCTAGTAGAAGGAGCTGCACCAGGCATCGCCCGCCGTGGGGCTTAGCAATCCGACCAGACTGGCACCGGGATGGCTACCGGTGGTAACGGCGCCAGTCACCACGGACGGAGGCGATGCCGTCGAGCTACATGTGCCGGTGGCATGTGTCGAACTGGGCAGACACTGGAAGCAGTAGTTGGCCCCGTAGTTGTTGTCCCAGAACTGCTGGCCCTTGCATTGGAATCGAACGGCGAACTCCAGCCGCTGGCCCACGTGCAGCGAGTTGCCGAACAGCACAAAGGTGAAGATGTCGGAGAAGCCGTCGCACGAGTTCTCCACATAGTTGGCCTGCAGATCGGCATAGCTCCGCCATCCGTCCAGCGAATACCGTATGTGCACCGACTTGTGGAAATCGAGATTGCGCACGCGCACCGATCCGGATATCGTCTGATTGATATTATCCGAAACGGCGGCATTCTCCAGCGACACCTGTTTCTCGCGCACCGCATCGAGGAACTTGGGCAGGCCACCTGGTTGCTGGAACAGTGGCATCAGTAGCTTATCCGACTTGGGACCCAGCTGGAGCGGCGGCTCCGACTCCAGTATCTCCAGATCTTCGAACGCCGACTTTGGTATGGTGGGTATCTCGTCCAGGAAGGTCTTCACATCGGCCAGATCCAAGCCAAGGACATCGGCAAACCGCACGATCTTCTTGCGACCCGGAGTTCCAGGCGGTGTCTTTCCTGTCTTGAGCGAGGAACAACGCCGGATCCTCTGAGGTCGACAATCGTCCTCATCATCTGTGGTATCTATGCCATGACTGTGCGTTGCCCCACTCTTTTCCACCGCATCCGTGGCATCCTGTTTGGCCTGCTCGATTTGGGCCAGGTCCACATTGACGGTCAGATTGCTGGCCGATTTGTCTGTTTCGTCCATGCCACTATCCGGCGAAAGTTCGACGTCTCTGGCTTCCTGAGTTGTCCTGTCGGGGGAGGAGCTTTCCTCCGTGGGGGTTCTTTCGGGGGAGGTGTCTGTGGGAGATTTGTCATTGGAGGTTTCCTCTTGAACCCTTTCATTAGGGGTTTTCTCCTGGACTCTGTCACTGGGAGTTTCTTCTTGGACTCTGTCATTCGGGGTTTCTTCCTCGCCTTTTCTTTCTTCAACTCTCTCGTTATGTATGTCTTCATGAACCCTCTCCTGGAAGCTTTCTTTCGGAACCACCTCCTGGTGGCTTTCTTTTGTAACCCCCTCCTGGGAGCTTTCTTTTTGAACTCTGTCGTAAGGGGTTTCTCCTTCAGTAAGGGTTAACTCTTCAACCTTCTCAGTGAAGACATCTTTATGCAATTCTTCTGGAGCTTTGTTTGTAGGACCAGCTACCTCCAGTGTCTTCACATCCTCCAAATGTCCATTCGTAAACTTCTCTTCTTCCACCCGCAAGCTGATGCTATGCTGCTGCAGTTCACTAAGGATCTGGGCCTGTAGAAAGGCCTCGTCCTCCGGCTGAATCGCATCCTGGCCAGCTGCCTCTTCCTCCTCATTCACTCCATTGACTAGTCCATGTCTTCCATTCAATTGCAGCGTATTCACATAATCCTTGAGTTCCGAGGCTGGCAGCTTTTGGTCCTGGGCAGCTGCAGCTGTGGATGTGGAAGCGGATGTGGTTGCAATTGCGATTGCGGATGCTGATGCGGATCCAGATGCAGTGGCATCGAAGTAGGGACCATCGGTACTGCTGCTGTGACTGCTGGCCATGGAGGCACAGGCATAGCCCGATTCCGCCGTCGAGTTGTGTGGCGTATTCGAGGCGGTTTCGATCAGGCGCAGGTACTCGCACTCGTCCACCGGACTCCCCGGCGACTCCAGCTCACAGTCGAAGTCGAAGAAGGAGTCGGACTCATGGCGCAGTGGCTGCAGATCCGTCACCGTCTGTTCCGAGTCGTGCGAGTTGACCCACGTGTTCGTGCTGGTTCCATTGATGATGGGCTCATCCTCCGCATTGCCCTCGCCCTCCTCGGTTGTCTGCAAAAATTCGGATATTAATAAGATTGCTCGAACTTTCTTAACTAACAGTTATTAAATGTTTAACTAGTTTTAGAATGTTTAACCCATTCTTTAATTAGATATTTACATTTTTTTTTAGCTTAAGAAATTCAGCTATATTTGATTTTTATTAAATAACCTAGGAGTTTACCTGTGAACCCAAGGTGCGCAGCTTGGAGGACAGACTCCGTGCGAATGCCTCGGCTCTTCCGCGGCACGAGGACATCCCTATGGTTGGGATGATGGAGATGATGCTGCAGGGCGGCCTGCTGTCCGGCGTGCTGGTGTGTGTCAGTGGTATATCGCCGGGATCGTTCATTTACGTCACGTCGACTCACAATCGGGTATGGTGCAACCGATCTGCGGAATATCTGCAAATATAGGACCATCGGGATATATGACGTGAGTGATATATTCAAACGCGATGAGCAATTTTTAAGTAAACAAATAAATTCACATGAAATGTTGTTCTCCATCACTTTCCCTTTTCGTTTTTGCCATGTTTTCGATGGCATTTTAAAACAGCTGGGAAAATATTTTATGCAGTATATCTACTTTTATTATCCTCATCGCATTTTTCATTTCTCTTTCGTTGTCTTGGTTTTTTTTAGTTGATTGTGTTGGTTGTCATTAAAATTTAAATAGACTTTTAAAGAAATATGTCGGTTTAATCTGTACTGAATTGCATAACATGCAAACAATTCTTCAGAATTACTAAAAGAATTTTTCAACTTCTTTGTCGGTATTTAATCATTAATCTTTTGAAAATCAATTATGAAGGTTTTAAATGGATTGAACTAAATTTCATGTTAGTTAAACGTTAAATTATTTTAACAAAAAATAGATCATAATTTTGCATTTAACTGAATATGATATTAAGAATATTATTATTTATTTATGTATTTATATTTAAATCCAAAAATTTAATATCACTAAAGTAAATCTATGTTTTGAACTATTATGACTGGCTCTAAAATAATTTCTAATATTTTTGAAAACACTACCTGAGTAATTAATTGGTATTTTGTTGTTATAAATCAGGTGATGAAAACCCGTGATGGTTTGTCCCACGAACGATGTCAATGAAAATCCGCAATGAACCGGGTGACCACAACAAATTGTTAACACCTCTCTTTTTTGCTCTTGGCAGATGGCACTATTATTGTTTTCATTTTGCGATGGCTGCACGTGCTTTACCTTTGATCAGGTGCAAAGCCAAGCCACGCCCATTATTGGATCTACTTAATTAGAGCGAGAGGGAGCGTTTTAATCGAGAGAGAGAGGAAGTGCCGCCCAATTAAGACATCAGCGTTTTTTATCTTTTCGAAATTAGATGCGCCAATCGAGACGAGACAAAGTCAATTGGCCTTGAACTTTTCGCGGCATTTCTTTTTTGTCTATTTTGTTTTTCCGTCTCTTTTGGTTTTATGTATTTTACTTTTTATTTTTGGCAGCATGCATAGGAAATTTAATTAAACAGTAAAAAGAGTAAAAAGAAGTACAAAAATTGAATTGAAATATTTTCGCTCGCCAAATGGCGTCGACAAAGATTTAAATAAACAAACGATCGTCTGACAATCGATCGATTAAGGAGGTCAAAATGCCGATCTCTTTAAAATTTCCTTAAATTTAAATAAAAGAATGCAGGTCTCTTTGTAGCCATACAGTATACAGATGCCACTGCCTATGAGGTGCTGCCACTTATGGCAGATATTTCATGATTCACAGACATCCCTTGCAGCTCGGTACCTTTATTCATTTTTTTTTTAGCTTATAGATAAATTGAATATTTTTTGGCTTTCGGCCAACTGGCTAAATGCGTTTTGGGCGCTAATGACGTTGGGTCAAGAGAAGCATTACAAAACGAAAGGATACATTTAAAATCAAAAGTGCTTTAGAATTATTGCTTAATTACGTTTGTCCTCGTTATTTGCCAAATTAAGGAAAGCATTTATGAAAAAATTTAACGCTTAAGAATACAATAAAAAATTAAATTTCAAATTTTCTTATCATATTCAATGCTCTGTATGCTCTGCCATATAAATATGAATTGCAAATGCAGCGACTCAAGCTCACATTTTATAAATAAAATATTTGAAGAGAAAAAGAAATGAAAATAAATAACACGAACACGAAGTCTATAAATAAACCTTAGACAACATATGTCTTTGACTTCTATTTTACGGCCAAAGTAACATTTCCGTTTTTTTTCTTCTTATATTTTCCTATTTTATTTGCGATTCTCTCACATTTTTTGCTTGGCGAATATATGCTTTGTTTTGACGGTAACTGCGTAACTGCAAAAGTATCTTATGCTTCAAGTATTTGACTTAAGTAGGTACACGCACTGACTGAGGAGACACCCATAAAGCCGCTTAATTGAATTAAATTGGGGAAAATATACGGAATTGATATTAAAGTGGACACCCCAACGACTCACGCAATAAAGAATATATTTGAATTATGCTTGATTGGTACACATCTAGTCTATGTCTTTTACGATAAAGTCAAGGTGCTGCCGAGGTGCCAATTTTATACCACTATGTTGTTATTGTATTTAAATAAGATGAAAGATAATTTTTAACACTCTTTTATTACTCACAAAATTTATTGGGTTTTCAAAATGATTTCACAAGTATTTTTCAATTTATTATTATGCTTCAAGATATTTTCCGTTTTGATTGTACATTTATTATCCCATTTACTTAGTTGTGGTTTAATTCTGTCTGGCAATGATTTTACCATTAATATATGATTCATTTAAAATTTTGTTGGCATTTGTTATAAAGCTTCATACGTTTAATGAACATTTAAATGCATTTATAATGGCTAAAAGATTACCTAAGAAATGATTTGTAATTTTAAGATTTCCCCTTTTTACAGAAAAGCATTTCAAAAATCATATTTTGTATAGTAATTTAAAATAAAATATAAATTATAATAAAAACAACTTGGTAAAAACTTTTAACGACGTTTAAAAATATAAAATTTTAAAAGAAATGTTAGAAATCTGTTTTCAAGAAAGAATTTGTAATTTATTTATAAACAGGCATTCTCTCAAAATATAAACTAACAGACACTCTTATCAACTGCATCTCCCAGTTGCATTTGTCATGTCAATTAGTTAGTCACTGGTCCAGAGATAGATGCGCCATTAGCTGTTCACACCATTTAAATAATTCGATTAGATGTTTCTAGGCCTACAACTGGAACTATATATTTTTATTGCCGGCCGCCGGCTTATCACCTGAAGCACACATGATATTTGCCAGTGGGCGATGGGTGGATGAGTGGGTGGTTTGGGTGGCATGGGTAGTTGGGTGGCTTGGGTGGTGCGACGGGCGGTTCACTTAATCATGCTGCGCCCGAGTCTCGATTAAGAGGCGTGATAACGAATTTGCAATTTTATTTATAGCAATCAGAATTGACCCGCGAACCACGAACGCTTCTCTCACAATAGCACTCATTTGTGGACTTTTCACTTACACTAGGCGACGATGAAATAACCGATTTTCTTAGGACTTTAATTATTGTAAATATTAAAGTTCCCTACTTCGAATTAGAACAAAAATCGAAGGAAACCACCGGAATAGCACTCGAACTGCACCACGTCTGCAGCGTCACGGTGTCGGGCATGCACTGACTGCCCACCGATCTTTTTGTTGTGTTTTTGGCATTCAGCAAATCCACCCTGATTGATAAGGCAAAATCGGAACGGATCGGATCGGATGGGATGCGATGCGATGCGATGCGATGCTACGATGGATGATCGAATCGAAATCGAAGCGCAGCGGAGCAAAATCGCAGATCGCAGCCAAACACTGCCCTCAAGCAAGATTGCACTCACCCCGCATCCGCATCCGCCTCCTCGGGAATCCGTATCTGTATCTGTAACTGTGCCTCTATATATCTGTAATCGCAGTGCATCCTAAAAGGTAGCTGCAGCGCCCCCCTCTCCACTCACCACTCTCGATTCTGGCAGACAGTCGATGCTATAGACAGATGCTCGTGATCAGTGACGTCGCAGCCTCGGATGTCTGTCTCAATCTTAATCGTAGCTAACTGCTCTTTCAAGTGCCCTTTTTTTATTGGGAAGTACTTCAAAATGAAAGAGCCACTTGCATTTAATTTAATTAATTTATCGTTTTTCAATCTGAAGATTAAGGTATAAATTTTGCTCAAAAATTGTTCAAGAACTTAAAAAATACGAAACTTCACAGGTCTTTTAAAAAAATGCTTACATATATTACCGTAGTTTTTCGGATTAAACACAAACACAAAATAAAAAAAAATCATATCATAATTTATGCAAACAAAACAAGTCCAAGCGCTTTAATTATTCCAGGGTGTTGTTTAACCCACAAATAGCAAATAAGCAAAAGGATTTCAGATACTGCAATAAATTGGTAAATACTGTAACATATTGCTTTGGCCATATCAACCGTGTTACCCTCAGATAAACTATCAGCGTTTGAAAAACCTTCCGGTACTGCCCGCTGTGATTGTAGGATTATAAATAAACCCATATACATATATGTCCAATTTGGCCATTCGATATGAGCCTAATCAGTGGATAGTTATTCGCGTTTTGTTGCTTAAGCATGAGATTAGGTAACTAATTTGTTATTGTTTGGACTTGGCGCCGGAACATTTTATAATCCTGATTTAGCATTACTGAACGACTTGAGTTAGATTGATGGGTGACAGAAGGGATCGAAGGTGATAAGATTGCTAAGCGGATCGTTGAACTGTTCTACAAAGAAAGTATGCTTAGAAAAGCCTTAACAGGCAATTAATTATGAATTTGAAGAGTGTTTATGAGATAAGATTATACGGAACAAATTAAGTAGTTTGTTAAGCATGATTATAAATAGTAATAAAATAATTAAGTTAATAGACAAATTATTTATTTACTTTCAATTTTACATTAAACAATTTTAAAAAGAATTTAATTGAAATCTTTCTTTGATTTGATTTGAAAGAATATATTTAAAAAAAATTTAATCAAAGTAAATGTGTCTTGTGTAAATAATGAAACAATTAATTTTAAAGAACTTTAAAACGCCTTTGAAATTAATCTGTATGATTTATTTGAATAAGAATAGAATCTTCTTGAATTGGTCAGTATATAGAACTAAAGAAGTATCATTAGAGAACATTTTCACGCTGTCATTCACTGTCGCATATATCATTAGCATGATTTCTATTCGGACTATTTTTTTTTTTGACCGGCAAGTGCCGCCCACGCTTTGAAAAGAGCTCAATAGATACGTGTTCCACCCATCAACAAACCACAACAGCTGACTGGTTTTTAATTTATAAATAAACCAAAATTAATAATATATAATGTTAAAGTCCCCTTTAGTTGAAATTAAGGCAGGCGCATGTTGCTTGTTGCCGGGCTTTCGAATTTCCTATGCTTAGACCTCCAAAAAAAATCGAACTTCGTCGCAATCAATATAAAATACAAGTGGATTACACGAGCCTCATTTGAAGCGCTAATTTGCCTTCAGTAATTTTATCTATCTATCAGATACATTGCACGCGTCTGTGTGGGTGCGTGTGTTCGGATGTGGGTGGTTCCCATATTCCAATTTTTTTTCTTTTTTGCTTTTCAGCAGCGCGTGGACATTTTTATTTATATTTGTATGACATTGCTACCGAACTAAATGTCAAAAGCAAACAAAGCCAAGCACCGTGAAAGGCAAAAAAAAAAATGTGGAAAACGCTGTTCTGAAAACTCGGTTACAGATACAAAGATACTTTGGGGAGAGGAAGATACTTTTGCCTTCAACTAGCTTTCGCTTTCCTTTTTTTATGGTTATTGTTGTGGACCCGAGGATTGCGAATTGTTTTGGCTTGTTTTGATTGTTGTGATAACGAGATTTCGATTGTTTTGATTGCGGAAGCCAAGAAAAAGTGCTTACAGAATCCATGACATTGATTAAGCAAAGGACAAATATTATATATAAATATTAACAAATATTACAAAGTTTTTTACTAAAATGGGAATAAATAAATTATAAACCTAGATTATGTAACTCAAGTTGCAAAAGCCGACATTCAAATAGCTGTTTAAGTTTTTACACATTTTACTAGTTTTACAGTTTTAACTTTACTTTCTGCTGACAGAATTATTATTTTTGACTAAATACAATATTTCGTTATTTAATCATTTAATTAAACCTTAGCTGTTTATTTTTGGACTTTAAATTATTTAATTAAATAAAATAGTAGTTCAAGAACCGGTGTATCAACTTTATGTTCCATTTCACCTACAGTACATGCAGTTAATTAAATTGATTGTTATGGTATGGTATAATTATTGAACCCCCTGAACTTGTACCCAATTGAACTTGTTCTGACTTATAAGTTTAGTTCAGGTTGCTGAAAAATGGCGAAAAATCCATGTCCATGTTGAGCAAACGAAGCTTTGACTTTAAGTGGCAAAGCCAATGTCAAATGTATCTGATGGATAATTGAAGGCAGCATCATTTAATAGCTTGTAATAATAAAGCATCACGCAAAGTTTTGTATAAAACACGCACTTAATTATGTCACATAGTTGTACGATTTCTTATAATAATTATGATTTACCAACCTGATGTTTTGATATTATTCCAAGGCGTTTCCTTTTTGGCCTTTCGTCGGCGTAGCAATAAAAATAATTGCTTGTCAATAGTTGTGGCATAAATATCGCCTACATATACCGATTTCGGGTATATATATATATATATATTTACTATATATGTTGGCCTATTGCGTGCCCCGTTGTCGTTTATGTTTCGATGCCAAAGGAAGTGACCCCAGTTTTTGGGGGAGAAAGGTTACCGAAGGATATACTCGCCAGTCGAGAACTTTCACTTTTATTCGCCGCACACACACACACAGTTACACCTTGCCGCCAGGGGGCGCTAGTTAGATAACACTTTTTGTCGGATTTTTCAGATATGTTTGTAAATAATTTTTATTTATATTTTTGATGTATGGGAATTCGTTGCAAAATGTTATTTATTTGGCTTTTATTTAGCACACACTCGTTTTGATTTCTGGGTTAAGGCTTTTGGTAAAGGATCCGTCGGGAATTTTCGGCTTTTTTCACGAAGGCACGCGAAAATTTTGTTTGACTTCAATCAAATTTTCACTTTTATTCAGCGCAGTTGTTTTCGTTTTGGCCCTTCTATATTTATTTATTTTTTAATCCTATATTATTATTATTATTATTATTTATATTTTTGCCAGTGCTGAGTGGCAGCCGTGGCAGCAGCGCCCGTTGGAGTGGCAACGTTGGCGACTTGGTCGCAATAAGAGTGTCATTCAAGGGCATTGCAAGGTCGCAGCAGTTGCGTCTTTCGCCCACTGGCAACTGAGATGCGAGAGCGCCAAACGACGGCCTCTTTTCAGTTCTCCGATATACACAGATACAAAGATTTTCGAGAATTATTTCGTTTGTTTGTTTTGCATTTTTTGCTTGCTAAATCCGAGCAGACGAGAGGTACAATGGGGGGAGCGGGTTGTCCTAGTCACGCAGCGGTTTAATTATTATTAATTTGCCCAAGCAATCGGTGTATCTGAGGGACACGGCCTTAGCCTAGAGTCTTAGACCTCTCGAATCGCCCGTTTGGGCCTCCTGTCGTGTGGCAACTGAGGCACGAAACGCCGAAAGTTGCAACCTTTCAGGCCTCTCACTTTCATTCTCGCCGCTTCTCTGGCCAATTCTCTCGGGAATTCTCCCTCTCAGTGGGTGGCTTTTGGGTGGTTCTGCTAGATATAGCACGGGTTCTAAATGTCAGCGATAAGAGAGAGCAACGCGGTGGAGAGAATACACTTTAAGCAATGTACAGTGGTGGTTGACCAGAAAAATAGTCCAGATTTTAAGTCTTATCAATTATATATTGAATTCCTTTAAATGTCTGCATTAGCTTTGGAAAACATCCAGGAAGATATTTGGTCAAATCTAAATTATTTTTAATATATTTTGAGTATTGCTAGGAACATAAATTTTCTTTTGTCGTTTCAGATTAATATATTATTTTCTTAGATTAACAAAATAAAGTAGTCAGCATTGAAGTATTAGTAAACTTGAGCAAAGTTATTCTACTTACATATTTTTTATAAAATTAAGTTCGAAATGTTCTTAAATATTTTTCCGAAAACGTATGCTTTTAATTGTTATGTTTAAATTGGTCAGATACCACTGTGCAGCATTTATTTGCAGTTTGAGTTACGTTCTCATTGCCTCTCTATTTCTCTCGTTGATATCTCTCACTCTATAGGTCTCTTTATCGCTTCACTCAGTCAATTGTGGAGCCGGCATTTTTGTACATTTCTCTTTTTTGTTTATACATATTTGCATACCTGAACTGTTTGCCCGATTTTTGTTTTCGTTTAATTATTTCTTAAACTTGTCGTATTAGGTCTACCTCATTTACACATTTTCGATAATCTGAGGTGTACAAAGGCAACAACGGCAACAATATTTGGTTATTATGGGGCTTTGTTATTTTTAAAGTGCGTTGACTGCTGAAAGAACTTCCCAAGAAGAAGCAGAAATTGCAATTGCACTGAATTGGCAATTGCATTTCTGTGCTTTACAGTTACAAAAATAAAAAGATACTCTTTGGTCGGGTTCTCTTGGCTTCTCTTTTTTTTGAAAATTTCTCTTCATTGTGCCACTTTTATCTGTGGGTCAGCAGCAAACTTTCGCTTTCACTTCAATGCGACGGCGCTCTCAGGAAAAACAATTTCCACGCTAACTCATCCACGTGCCGACCCTCTTTCATCCACCGCCCCCCACGGAAAATAACTTTGGAAATTCTCCAGTCGAGAATCGGAGACCACCTATCATTTGCTTTAAATCAGCTTTGCTTATCACATGACATTAAATTAACTATAATTTAATTTTGACTTTCGAGTGTCTAATTAGTCGCTTTAGTCAATGACATTTCATTTGATTTTGGTAAAGCTTATTTGAAAATCAGGACTATAAGGAATTTGTAAAATAGTTTGATTTAATTTACTTTGAATTTCTAAAAATTTTGTAAATATGTTAATTTCAATTCATCATGTAGCAGAAAACAGAAAAGCGGGGACACGCACCATCAGAGCATGTTCCACAACCACCCGCCCAGATGGCGCCGTTAGTCGATAACCGATAGGTCGAGTCAGCTGTTCTCGACCTCATTTACAGTTGTGTTTGTGTGTCTGACGAGTCAAAAATTCGCCATAAAGTTCATAATAAAGTTCCGGATGTAATTTACGTATGTAACGGACAAAACGGCGGGAAGACAGCATTCAAAACGTCGTGCTGCTCGCATTTTCGGTTGTATTTCGGACGCGGATTGTCGATAAACAGGAATCCATTTAGAATGTCCACCAGTGCAGTTATTCACTCCCCCGCGCAGCGTCGCCACGCCCTGCCCCTGTCCCTCTCTCTCGATCCAACGAACTCGAAGCGACCACTTCTCCAGCAACAACAACAACAACATCATGAACAACAAGAAACACCTGCACGCCAGTATGTAAGTTTTCCCTCCACTTTTTGTTATTGGTTGCCATGGAAACTTCACAGCTGTCCCAAAACAGCTGATTGCACTAGGAAAAATGACGGACTAAATATTGTTGACTAATTTCGATTTGGTTGCAAAAATGTTTATCAGAAAACCATAATAAGTATTTAAATAGAAATATTTTGAAGCGGATTAAAAATTATTGTATATCATGGCGTATACTTAATGTCAGTTTTTTTAGAAGCCTGAATTACAGGTTTTTGTTATTATTTTGTTATTGTTTAATTTACCTTATTAAAAAACGCACAATTTACCTTTGCTTGACCACTCTTCTCTTGGATCTCCAATAAAATCATGACAATTGTACGAAGTCGTACTTAAACTAAAAATAAATCAAGATATATCAAAAATAAATATACATACCTTATATTTCTCGTTTTAAATACTTTCAGATGCTCATTGAAGATGAGGTCCACGGTGTAATTGAGCTGCCCAGACATATACAAGAAATTGTGAACCATCCTCTGTTCCAGCGTCTAAAACATGTTCACCAATTGGGTCTAATACCGTGGTCTCTCAATAAGGCAGCCAATCACAAGCGCTACGATCATTGCCTCGGGTAAAGTAAAGATAATGCCATACACACTTAAATCCTAACCATCTAATTTTTATTTAAGGGCCTACAAAAGTGCCCAGGATCACCTAAGGGCCATCGAAAGAAACTCTCGCTATGAACCAAAACTTCCGGACTGGTGTCGTCAGGCAGTGGAAATAGCCGCCCTCCTTCACGATATTGGACATGGACCGATGTCACATGCCTGGGAGCTTCTATGTCACCATAGTTTTGATGTAAGTTACTTAAGTCACTGTGTATTACAAAGATGTTTATAGAAGACATAATTTTAGCACGAGGAAAATGCCATAGCCTGTGTGGATCTCATTTTCAATGATGCCCTTGATCAGGAGCTGGTCTCCTTGAGGGACGATGGAAGTGGCCGTGGAGTACAATTGATAAAGGCTCTCATTCTGGGCTGCAGTGACTCCCTGTCGTTTCCCATGATGGGACATACCTATATCTTTGATATCGTTCACAACCGACGCTGCGGATTGGATGTCGACAAATGGGATTACCTGCGCCGTGATAACAAACGCTTGCAAATTCTCAGCGCAGTCGAAATGGATTTTGATGATGTATTCCTTCAGGCTCGCATATCGGCCGATGGCCAACGCATCGAGTATCGTTATCAGGACTATCATCGCATATATCGCTTGTTCGAGGCAAGAACGCGCCTCCACGTTGCTGCTTATCAAAATCCCCTGACATGTGCCGCGGATGTTATTTTTACCAAAGCAGTACAACGTTTGGCCCCTGAACTATTGAACATTCGTTCCAAAGACCCAGATTGGCTCAAGCTAACCGATGAACTCGTTTTAAATATTATTGAAGCGGATCCCATATCGAGATATATTAAGGAACCGCAGCGAATTGTAGAAGTATCGAATGGGAACTGTTCCGGATCAAATGTAATACGGGTGCAGCGAGGTATTCCTGGACCTTGGGAGGCTATGAAATCAGAAGAGGCGTTCGCCTTTTTTGGAAACAAACGGTATACAAAACTCAACCAAAATAACATAAGTCTTTAGTTAACTATTTTTATTTGCAGCAAAAAGCGTCCAGTTAATCGATGCTTAAGCCCGACCATAATCAACAAGTGCTACAAGTTAGATTAAAAATCTCGAGCAAAGAGTTCCCAGTTAATTCATGTTTAAGCCGTCAACCACACGTATGTTATTGTTTTGCTTTCATTTCGCTTTCTATATTTTAATAAACTATGACTATGTATTAGTACTCGTAAAACTGTTATCCGTTATTATGTTTGAGTATCGTTGATTTTATCAGTTGTTTGCTGCAGTTATTCACTTTTCTGTTTTCCATTTAATAGTCACAATAGTACAAAAGCAAATTGTTCTTAAAATAATCGTTTATTAGTTTATACATTGTATTATCTTAATCGTCTTAAAGCTAAAATACTAAAACAAAAATTTCAACAGTTCACTTGAAGACATCACAATTCAAATTCAGGTCTTTCTAACATTAAGTACTTACTAAACAATATAAATATAAATGGATTTGTCATATTTTTGATAACCACATTGAAATATACACAAGAGAAAACAATCATTTTTCTACAATATAATGGGGAACTTAGCTGACTACATTGTTCGTGTACGATTCTGTTTGTTATATTTGTTTCTACATTTGTTCGCGTTCTATAAAGTATACAATTTAATTGCCAATAAGCGCGGGTAGATGTGCTGAGTCTGTGATTATACGCTGTGGTAAGTGGGCAGCTAGATATTGTTTGTGAAGTCTCTGCCGGCAAAACTGATAGAACTCGATCTCATTCGTGAAATTCCGACGCACTATATCCTTAACATGTTCGCTGACCGGAGGCTTGAAGTTGTTTTTGTTGATCTTGGTCAAATATTCGGCGCTGGCTGTAAGATGAGAAAAGCGAATACATAGGTTTTGGTCAGAAATGTATAAGTCTTCAGTGTCAAGTTCACAAGACGTCGACAATTGTAAGTGCTGCAACATTGTACTCAACTCAAGTGCCACTTATTGCTTTTATTACTTTATTTCGTATGAGTGCGCACTTGGGCAAAGCTTGCATACACTCACAAAATTCTATACAGTAAATTAAATATAAAATAAAAGTTGAAAAGTATTTGAAAGTAAATTAAAAATGCACAGTATTAAAAAAAAATAAATTTTAGAATAGGAAACGCTTAAATTTGCCTATTTCCTATATTGAAATAAATATATTGAGCATAAATTTTGTTTATATAATGCTTGAATATTTAAAAACAAGTTCTTAAGGATGTTCATAACATTTTGTTATAATTTAGCCTGCTTTTGTTTTGAGTGAAGTTTGGGTTCATTTTAAATTAAATTTTCCTTGGCTATTTAAGCGTTATCAACTTACTTGCATAAATATCGCGAACACCCTCAAAGAATCGTGGCACATATTTTTCCAGCACAGAAAGTGTGGTGTTGAGATCTTCCAGCACACCAACAACAGCATATTGCTGCTCCACAGCAAATTTGGCTCGTTCCAGGGCACCCACAGTATTAAAAGGGCTAGAAAATATAATTTAATAAATAATAAAATCAAAAGTTAACATTATTGAACATTTTTGAATAAATTTCTGAAAGTCCCATTTAGTTGGATCATTATAATTAACTTAACCTTAATAGGATTACTATAGAGAAATGTGTTTAAAAACTCAATGACGGTTAAACAAAATATCCTCATAAAATTTTAAAAAATATATATGTGTGGCTTATGTTTTTATTTTAGCTCCTTACATTTTTGAGTTAGTTTACTCACAGTAAAAATGAGTGAACTAACCAAAATCTTTATATAATTTTAGAAATTTAGTTTTTAGAATATGTTAAATCTACTTTAACTTGGGTAAAAGCAAAAACTTACGTGCACTCGTAGTCGTGACCGCAGAAAAATAGGCTCTGTCTGCGATGATCGCCGATTCCCTCCACCGTAACTCCTTGAGTATAAGTACACTCCTGATCGCCATTGAGCACACACGTTTCGAAATCCTTTTTAAGCCAAGCGGGATGGGGCAGTGGTAGATCGGGAAAAGCAGCCTTGCGCTCCACAAAATACCAGGGAGCCCTGACGTAGTAAAACCAGCTGATCACTCGCTCCACAGGATCACGAACCACATTTAGGTAAATGGGTTTGGGCAGGTTGAATTTGGTGAAGTTGGTGAAGCACACGTGCTTGATGAAGACCGACGGTTCGGGCAGCTCACTGATCACTTCGGCCATTTCCTGCTGCTGATCCTCTGCCAATCGAATGGTCTCCACTTTTTGAACTGCATCGCGATGGAATTGAAAGTTATTTCGCTCGGAAAGTCGACGAAGGAGTTCCATAAATGTCTGGCTTCCCACTTTGGGAACTCGATTGAAGAATACCAGTTCCATTTGTGCCTTGCGGGTGTTGTTCAGATCTCTTACATTTAGAGAGGACATCTGATAAGGAGTTTAAAAAGAAATTAAAAAAAAAAAAATAAAATTAAAATTAGAGTAGGCTATATTTTGTATCATTTTTTGTTTTGTTTTTATTTACCTTCAGATCCATGGTGTTTGATATGCATTTAGGGCAAGGGACAAGTTTTGAAAGCTTAATGGGACTTTAAAAACAAGAGTGACTTAACAGAGAATTTTTATAAAACCCTATTTTGATTTCGTTTGACCTTTTAAAAATATTTTACTCTTTAGTACTTTTTAAATTTAAGCATAAATTTAATTAAAACCCTTCTTTATTTATTGTTATATTGTGTCATATATTATATTCATTTAAATACCAAGTTATTGATGCAGCACAAGTTGCTTTATTTATTCAGTTGCCTTATTATTAGAATAATTCCCTAATGAAGATTGTTCTCCAGTTGCAGTGCCAAATATTGTTTATACAAACGCTGCTTGCAGAAGTAGTAGAACTCATATTCGTTGGTAAAGTTCCGTCTTACCATCTCCCTGACATCGGGATCTATGTGGGGTTTGCGATTATTGCGGTTCCGATTTCGAATACTTTTGCTGTGCACTGAAAGAGATAATTCCATGACACTCGATACTTTGTTGATGATACTTGAACACTTTTTAGTTTTAGTTTAGACCCCTGGGTCTACCTACATTTATGCAGGAAACGAGCATGATTGAAGAATCTGGGAACGTATTTCTCCAATACAGTCAGTGTTATGTTTCTTTCCTCCCAAGTGCCCACCACAGAATATTCTTTCTCCACCCTTTGTTTAGCCACTTGGGTAGCAAAATGCGAATTGAAGGGTCTACAGAGGGGGGTAATAATTGAAACTTTAAGTCAACTAAGACCTGAACTACTCACAAGCAATCCTCTGAATTGCCGCAAAAGTAAAGGGTTTGTCTTTTGAAGTCCTGAATGTAGTCTGCTACTGAATATTGGACAAACAGGCATTCGGGGCTTCCACTTCTCACACACTCATTGAAACTTTGCTGATACCATTCCTCAGATCTCTCACGACGTCCTGGATACATCCGCCTATAGATAGCTCGCTTCACTAAAGATCGTCGCTTGTAGAAATCACTAACCATTCGATCGATGGGATCCTTAACTAGGGATATATATATGGGTTTCTTGTATCCAAAGTTAGGAAAGTCCAGCCAGTTGGAGTGGGCCATATAGATCGATCCACTCTCCAGCTCACTGGCCCATTCCGATTCAATTAGTTGTTCCATTTCAGTGCGAGTTCTGTTCATGGTTCGCACAGGTCCGTTGAGCACCACATTTATGTCGTTCATGGCGGCCAGTTGCCGTAGAAGCGGCAACACTTGCTCACTGTCCACTCGGGTTGGTCGGTTGAAGACCACTATGTCAGCACTCGAATACCGAGTGTTGTTCAGATTCATTAAGTTCAACCGTCCGAGCTGGGAAGGTCAGGGATTTTTGTTGGCTTCATTAAATGTCCAGAAAATAAGTCACAGAAGCGAGGGGTGAATGAAACACAGAGTGTAGATGGTGTAACTAACTAAGACTGATAAGTATCCCAGAAGCTAGCCAACTTAAAAGTGTTCAAGTATCTCAATCAACTATAAATGGGTGACACAGCACTTTGAACTCATTTATAAAGTGTCTAAAAGTATGCAACAATATATTTTTAAACCGGATCTCTTGTAGATTAGTTTCAAATTATTTATCACTGCATACTTTTAGACACCTAGCGTTATGGAATCAGCATTGAAAACAGTACGCCATGCAACCTACACTCAAAGATATTCCTGACTCCTTTAAAAAATCGTGGGATGTAGGCCTCAAATACGGTTAGAGTTATGTTAGTTTCCTCCCAAGTTCCAACAACTGCATAGTCTCGTTCCACATTTAATTTGGCTAGTTGAATGGCGTGTTGAGAGTCAAAGGGTCTGAAAAATACTCTCCGCTTGAGGTTTTTTCTTATAAAAAGCGAGCTACTTACAAACACTCCCGATTGTTGCCGCAGAAGAAGAGCGACTGTCTTTTGTAATTACCTATCGCCTCACGTACACTTCCTGGCACATATTGACACTCGGGGTCACCACTGCGAACACAATCGTTATAGTTCTTCTTGAACCACTTCTCCGACTGTATAGTCGCATTGGGAAATTTTCGATGGTGGATGGCATTGCGATAACCACTGCGAACGTAGTAATACCAACTGATCATCCGCTCCACGGGATCGCGAACCAAGTTGATGTATATGGGTTTGGGCAACTCATATCGGTGGAAGTCCAACCAATTGCAGTGTTCTATGTATATAGTGCCTGGATCTAGCTCGGTCACCCAAAGGGCCTGCAACATTCGTTCTCCAGGCTTTCGGGTGCGGGAATTAATGTTCATTGGTCCCTTGGTCACCACCGACATGTTATTATAGGGAGCCATTGTTTGGGTGAGTTGCATCAAAGCCTCACTTCCAACTTTTGCCCCACGATTAAAGAAGATCACCTCCAGTCGCGAGTGTCGAGTGTTGTTCAGCTTTTCACTGCTCAACGAAGCCAGCTGTGATTTGTATAGATAGATTTGGGCTTAACTACGGTTTCCTAAATGTTTCTCTACATGTTAGTTACAACTACTTTTGAGTACTTTATTAATAAACTACAAATATGTCAACAACTAAATAAAGTTCAGTCTGGGAAATTAGGGGTGATACAGTCGTTCCAATTCCTGTCGCTTGAGGGCTATATACTGCATATAGAGACGCTGTTTGCAGAAGTAGTAAAAGTCGTACTCATGGGTGAAATTTCGTCTGACCATGGCCCTCACATCTGCATCTACGTGGGGCTTTCTATTATTGCGATTGCGATTCTGTAGGGTCTTCTGATACACTGAAAGTGGTATTCTTTAAGTGCTAACTGACGAGATATTTTTGATTGGTAAAGTCTTACTGTGAAAGATAATTTTAGCTCTAGCGAAATAGCGGGGAATATAGTGCTCTAGGACGGTTAGAGTTATGTTGGTCTCCTCCCAAGTTCCCACAACTGCGAATTCGGTTTCAACCCTACGTTTGGCTATCTGAACAGCCAGGGGAGAATCGAAGGGTCTGAAATGGGTTAATGGTTAAGGCTGCATATCTTAAAAAGACGTTTTTGGGGACTTTGACAGCACTCACAAACAGTCCTGATCGTGACCGCAAAAGAATATTGTTTGCCGCTTAAAGTTTCCCTCCACATCGCGAACTGCCAGAGGAACATACTGACATTCTGGGTCACCACTTCTCACACAGTCGTTGTAACTCTTCTTAAACCAGGCCGTGGGCTTAATCGGAGCCAGTGGATTATTCCTGTAGAATATGGCATTCCGGTAGGAGTTCCTCACGTAGTAATACCAGCTGATCATGCGCTCCACGGGATCTCTCACCAGGTTAATAAAGATTGGTTTGGGCAGGTTGTACTCATTGAAATCGATCCAGGGAATATGCTCAATGTACACAGATCCTTCCTCCATGTTGTAGACATATCCCGCCGTTGCAGCCTGTGCAAGGGGTTTAAGTTGCCTTTTCGTTTTCTTGTTCACTCCATAATGATCCACACGGAAGTTGTTGATATCCTGCAGATGCTCCATGAATTCCATCAGCGATTCGCTGCCCACTTTGGCACATCTTGTGAAAAACAGACGATCCATTTCCGCCTTGGCTGTGTTGTTCAGTCGACCAGGTGTGAGGTCACCTAACTATTTGGGGATAGGGTATGGGTTTAGAAGCTTCATGGGAGGGGGATTCATGTCACACAACAAAAAACGACAAGACACAGATATGGATTCAACGTGTAAAGAAAGTGTGGGTCTACTCTACTGTTGTTTACTGACTACTATTTATTGAAATGTGAAGTTTTGATCGCATATATATTACTACTCTTATCTATTTGTCGTACTGAAACTAATTTAAAAGACCATGCTTCTCCAACTCTTTCAGATTGAGGGCCAAATACTGTTTGTACAAACGCTGCTTGCAGAAGTAATAAAACTCATACTCGTTGGTGAAATTCTTGCGAATCATCTCCTTGACCTCAGGCTCTATAAATGGCTTGCGTTTGTTCTTGTTCCGATTGGTGATCTTGCTATTGTTCACTATTTTGAGAATGGGATATAAAAAATGAGTTCTATGTTCTGCGGTTTGGTGAATTTCGAAGACCTACTTTCATACATGAGTTTGGCCCCGCGAAAGAATCGTGGAATATAGTTCTCGAGAACGGTTAGGGTTATATTCGTGTCCTCCCAGCTGCCAACTACAGCGTAATCACGTTCCACATGCTCCTTGGCCATTTGCACGGCAGTCGGTGAGTTAAAGGGACTAAAAGACCACCATTAGCATACGACTTACTACTGTCCCTATCTACTTACATGCAATCATCATGGTGACCGCAATAAAACAAGGACTGCCTTTTGAAATTGGCAAACGTATCTTTGACCGTATGGGGCACATATTGACACTCGGGATCTCCGTTTCGCACACAATCGTTGAAGTTCTTCTTATACCAGGACGCGGGCTTTATTCTTTGATCCGGCTTCTTTCGATACTCGATGGCATTTTTGTAGGCACTGCGAGCGTAGAAGAACCAACTGATCACCCTCTCAACGGGATCGCGAACCAAGTTGATGTAAATCGGTTTGGGTAAATCGAATTCATCGAAGTCCAACCAGTTTATATGCTCTATATACATGGTGCCCTCCTCCAGATCGGCAACATATTCGGCGGACTCACGCCTCTGCCTTTTGTCCATTTGGCGAACAGTTTTGGTGTGGAGACCATGTTTTTCCAGTGTAATATCTTCGTTATACTTCTCCAGAGCCATGAAAAGTTCCAGCATGGCTTCACTTCCGACTTTGGCGGCGCGATTAAAGAAAAGTACTTCAATTTCCGCATTTTTTGTGTTGTTCAAACGATTCGTGTTCAGGTGCTTAAGCTAAAGGGAGTTCAATAAGGAAAAGATCAGCCATTTGATCCTATTTTTGGCCAGGTTAGTAAGCAGCAATTTTAAGAAGTCCTTAGTTTTTTAAGCGGTAGGATTGTTGACTGCGATAGTTCGGAGAGGCATTTTAATAATAGTTGTTCTTTCCATCCTTCGGTTAATAAGCAATAGTTATAAATTCATATAAGAGCTTAAGTTCAATTGGCAGTGAAATGGAATTTTTCCCAAGTTTCAGAAAGAAATTTTCCTTTCCATCATTAGTTTTTGATAAAAAATAAAGTCCTGAGAGGTTCTTATAAAATAATAAGCAGTAGAGAAGTAAAGTAAAGTATTTACCCCAAATATAGTTATAAGATAAAATATTTCGGCATAAAAGGAAAGTCTAAGTTTCTCCCCTCATTTTTATTAATTGGTTTGGAAAATACATCTAATTAAACTAGTTTTTGATGGCCATTTCGTTGGCCTGATCCAACATGGCCAACGATTTATCCACCCGCTTGAGATCGTTCAGTTTGAGTGCAAGGTACTGTTTGTGCAAACGTTGGCGACAAAACTGATAGAACTCAATTTCACGCGTGAAATTCCGGCGAACCATATCTATTATATCCTGCGAGATATGCGGCTTCATTGGGTTAACATTTTGCTTGTCGACATTCAGACCAGCTGTAAAATATTTATATTTTTCCATAACAAAATAGAAAAATACAAATCAATAAATCAAGAAGATGTTTTTCAGGATGGAACGTAATTTTTTTATACCCTTGCAAAAGAAGCACTGCGGCTTAAATTTTATTAAAATCGGAAGTCTATATTATAAGAAGAATCAGAAAAAAAATTAGAATAATCTTTGACATATAGTAATTGCTTACTATTTTGAAATTATGGTTATTAACACAGGAAAAAAAGGAAAGATCAAAAATTTAATCGGAAACTTTATATATTTATTCATAAAAATGTAACTGTAGTGTTTTAAAGAATATTATATATTTAAATAATTTCTGCAAGGGCATAAAAACTTCGGCTTGCCAAAGTTTGCTTCCATTCTTGTTTAGGATTTTTTAAGTTCTTGATTTTAAAGATTTTCTTTTCCCAAAATAAATTTTCCCAACTCACAGTAATACATTTTGGAGGCATTTTCGAAATAGCGTGGTACATAGGCTTCTAGAACAGCTAGAGTTTCATTCGTGTGCTCCCACGTTCCCACCACAGAGTATTCCCGTTCCACATTCAATTTGGCCAATTGCAGGGGCAGACGACCGTTAAAGGGTCTACATAAGGGGTTCGAGAGATCACTGAGAGAAAAAGGGGGGTATGCTAGCCTAACTCACGTGCACTGCAACTCATTGTGACCGCAGAAGAACAAAGTCTGTCGCCGATGATCGCCCACATGCTCCAGCATGGCATTCTCAATGTAGGTGCACACTTTCTCACCGCTTTCAACGCACTGATCGAACTCGGTGTTAACCCACTTGGGATTGGGCATTTCGCGATTGTTACGCCTTCTTCCGGGGACAAAAATCCAAGGAGCTCTGATATAGTAATACCAGCTGATCACACGCTCCACGGGATCGCGTACCATGTTGATGTAAATGGGTCTGGGTTGTTCGTGTTTCGTAAAGTTTAGGAAATTCACATGACTGGCGAATACGGTGCCATCCTCCAAGTTAACAATATTATCGATCATGTCGCTCTGCTCGGCGGCGCTCAAAATGGTAATGACTCCTCCATTTTGCGGATCCTTTTCGACCTCATAATCATGGACTTTTCCCAACTGCCGCATGAGTTCAATCAGCTGCATACTGCCCGTCTTTGGAACCCGATTGAAAAACAAGACATCGATCTCGGCCTTGGGGGTATTGTTGAGTTTATCGGGACTTAGGTGAAGGATCTGCAAAGGTTTCGTGCATTTGGGCACCCTTGAATTATTGTTTCTAATATGACTGAGACGAAAGTGAATTCAAGCAACCAAGCTATTCAAATGATTAGTAGCGAAAGGAGGAGAAGAAGACTCGAGTTGTAGTTTAGGTGTAAAAATCATTTGGCAAATAAAACCCTGTATTTATTTCGATTTGGTATATCTCATACTATTTACAACTAAGGCGACTGAAATTCGTCCTTGTGCACTGCTATATACTGCTTGTGGAGTCGCTGTTTGATAAACAGATACAGCTCGATCTCGAAGGAGAAACTGTTGCTCAGATATTCCTCCACATCCTTATCCAGATGGGTGTCGTGTGAAACTGTGTTCACTGTAAATTTATCGGTTTTGCCTAAATAGGAGAGTTCGAGTTTATTTATTTTTGTATTATTTTGGAGGTGTGTAAACCTACTGTAGTAGACCTTCCTGGCATTGGCAAAGAAACGTGGTATGTAGGCCTCTAAAACAGCTAAGGTCACATTTGTATCCTCCCAACTTCCCACTACTGCGTATTCGCGTTCAATATTACTCTTGGCAATTTGTGTCGTAGTTGCTGAGTTGAAATGCCTGAACAAGAGGACCATAGTTCTTTTAGTCCATATTTTCTTTTGAAAAAGGCGTCACTCCACTACCAAGTTTTAACGGGACAGAATCTACGCTTTATAAATTTATCAAACAATAAATCTGCTATATACTTCGAAATGGGCAGCCAAGAAATCACACGGATTTTAAAATCTATTAAAAAGGGTGTCTAAAAGTATGCAGAAATCATTTTAAAAATCCAGAAATCATTCGCAAAGCCAACGTTTTTTATTTATTGCATACTTTTCGACAGTTTCTAATTAATATCAAAACCTTAATGGTTTTTGTAACGTCACCCATTAACACATTAAAATATCGTATAAGCAATCCCGTGAAAACTTGATTTTGGAAAGAAAGCCTAGACATCTTATCTGAGTGAGTAAAGACCTACGTGCAAATTTCCGAATTGCCACAAAGGTGAAGCGAGAACCTCCTCCAATCGCCATTGTACGGATTGTGGTTATCAAAATCACAATATGGGGGTACCCGTTTCCTAACACAGTCGTTGAATGCAGTGTCGAAATACTGCTTGGTCTCAATTCGCTTGTTGGGATTCCGCATCAAACTCTGGGCAAAGATCAGCGGATGGCGTTGATAGTAGTAGGCACTGATCACCTTTTGTATGGGATGGCGAACCATGTTGATGTAAATTGGACGGAGGTGGCCGTGCTTTGTGAAGTTGACCCAATTGGCGTGCTCCACGTAAACAGCGTGGTCACCCAGCTCATAAAGCTGATCCACCAGATCCTTCTCATCCTCATAGCTATCGGTAAGTGGCCTCGAGGGTCGTACTATATTCCTGTAGGCGTCGAATCCATTACGTTCACCCAGTTGCTTGATGAGACGCGTCATCGACTGACTTCCCGTCTTCTCCAGCCGATTGTAGAACACAAAATCACGCTCCGCTTTGGGGGTGTTATTCAGTTGGGCGGCGTCCAAATTTTCTAGCTTGAATGTGAGGAGATAAATAAGTCCACTTTCTTCTTCCAACAAAAAAAAAAAAACAAAATATAAGCCAAGCCAATATCGACACAGAAAATGAACTACAGGGTTTTTTTTTGTGGTAAAGTTAATAGAAATAATAGTTCAGAAATGCAAGTGTCTATTTATTGCAAAGTATTGTCGATATAACCGCTGCTTGCAAAAATAATAAAAATCATATTCCTGGGTGAAATTGGCTCGCATTATTCGCTTGATGCGTTCGCTAATCTTCGGTTTCCAGTGGTTGGTATTGGCCTTCTGAAAGGCCAGGCCTTTGATGGGTTCTAGAGAGAAAATATATCTTTAGAGCCCCTGAATAGACATCTATTTAGAGAGTTTACCATAGTACAGTTCGGTGCTGCCTTTGAAAAATCGAGGTATATAGTTTTCGAGCACTGACAAAGTCACATTCACATCCTCCCAGGAACCAACTACCGAGTAATCACGCTCTACATTCTGTTTGGCCCTTGCTATGGCTGCTGGAGAATTAAAAGGTCTTGAAAGGTTTGGAAAGCCCTTCCGTTAAGACATGAAACCAATAGAATTTTAAGCAACCTACTCGCAAACGGGTGAGTGGCCACAGAAGAACAAGCTCTGCCGCTTGTGATCGGCGGAATCCTCTCTAAAACTAAGTCCATGATCATAGCGACACTCGAAATCGTGCGACAAGACACAATCCTCAAAGTTCTTGACGTAATGGGTGCGGTTCTCAAACTTTCCGGTGACCTCAAACATTTTCACAGAGTTCCAGGGGGTGCGTTTGTAGTAGAACCAGCTGATCACTCTTTCTATAGGGTCGCGAATCTAATAAATCAAGTTTTTTTGTGTGATTAAACCTTCTCGGATCAGGTTATTTGTCCTACCATGTTAAT